TGATGCAAAGTCTGTTTTTGTGATGATTTGATAAAATTTCTTGCAGTCGTTTTGGCGAAAGTTTCGTTGAGTTTTTGTACGAATATGATGATTTTTTCCGATTAATAACAATAACAATTATTTATAATGCTATGCGTTTGCAACCACAAAAATATCAATATGATTCTCGACAAGGGCGCTTAACAAAACTCAATAATTTTGTCTTCTTATATGACTTGTGCACACGTAGAATAATGGGTGAAACGGTAATTTATTCAGATTTGCGCTCTTTCAAAGTTATAATGTGGGTATTTATGCAAAATATCGATCTTTGCGCAAAATGAATATTGGAATATGAATATATTAAAGAATTTTTTGGAGTTAAAGGGACTTCCTTGATCAGAAAATACTTCCAGTTAGTGATGGAAATTTCCTGTAATAGTGCGAATGAGGAAATCATGCGAACGTTGATAATTAACGAGCTGAAAGTTGTGGAGATGAGGGTGACAAGACATTCTCTTGGTTGGGTTGAAGCCGTTGACTGGACCATTATTGGGGAGAAGCGGCCAACCGAAAAACGAACATTCAACACGGATGGACAGGTAGTGATTGCATAATTTTAGTTATTTTTTTATCATATGGAACTTTTGTGTCCTTTCGAATTTTTAATGGTTTTTAATTTTTCAAATATTATAAATAAAATTTAATCACATCAATGCTGCAGTTGGTACAGTATACAATTGGTGAAGCAGATGATCTTCGATGGACACTTCATTACGATTTAGATGGACGTCTAAAAGCTATTAATGATGCAAAAATATTATTTTCCAATGGAAAGTTGAAAAATGTAGATCAGGTCTGTTATTTATGAATTAATGAAAGCTGAAGTTTTGCGTACTCTGTAGAGTCATAATAAATTCGAATAATCGTTGAAGGTAGACTATACGGTGAATGCGAATGGTTGGACGCGAAGTCGTGGTAAAGTGTATTTCGAATACGATGTGTATGGTCGAGTGCATCGTATCTATCAGCGAGGCTTGATGGATGTTGAATACGGTTATGACGATCGTTCACGTATAATTTGGAGAAGAGTGGGTGACGAGCAATTCCAGCGCTTCTTTTATGCAATACCTGATCGACCATATCTCTTGACACATTTCGTCTCGTAAGTTTCGGTGCTTCTGCATCATTTGCGAATCAAAAGAGATTGTTTCTGAAACTGAAGATTCATTTATTTAAAAATTCTCATTTAACACTTTTTCGGTGAAGATTTAAAAATTATTTTGGGAGAGGTTTACTGATCTCGGGGAGATTGTTGGCTGTAGGATTTAATATGTGCGATAACACAGGAATATAATAATTCTCAACAAGAATAATAGTACAATAAATTTTACAGATAAGAATTGAGGTCAAGTAGTAGAAATCCCTATTTGTGGTCGAACTGCTTCTTGGATGAATCTTCCTGGTTTTTGGTAAAAAACATACACTCTAATTGAACATGAGTGACCTCCTTATATAGCAAGCAGTATACATAAACAAAGTACACAATAAGAAGTTGACTTGCCGAAAGTGAAATCAGTCTAGCAAAGAGCGAGTTGTTGCCTGATTTAAAATCAAATCTAATTACTAGTTGACAAGCCGCAAAAGAGGTTATATGAGCAAAAGTTGACTCGTAGATTCAAAGATGATTTACAATTAGTGACGACGTAACAATGAGGTCAACTAAATAAGGAGCTGATACCGTATAAACAACATATGAAATGTTTACAGCCTAAACCTATTTTGCGAAAGATTTGTGGAACATATTTCTTACCCTTATTTTCTACTCTTATATAATATTTTAGAGTTCCACGACATTATTATTCATCCTATAATTATATTCTACTTATTAAAGAAAAGATGATTATGATCGTTTGATTCGCATAAAAAACTTTTTCTACAAATCAGTCAATTTCATCCCAAGATCAGAACAGAACCAATTATTAATTTACAGAACAAACGAAACACCATCAACTATTTTATATGATGACCGAGATGTCCCATTTGCTTTCTACCACGGTGATAAATATCATGCTTTGTTTGTGGATATTGATGGTTCTGTTCGTTTCATATTTGCATCGGATGGTACTATGGTGAAGGAAATTATTCGTAACCCTCTTGGTGCAACTATTGTGGATAGTAATGATAGTTTCTATTTCCCACTTGGTTATCGTCATCAATTCGATGATCCGCTTACTGGCATTGTAATTCTGGGACCAGAAGCACGGCCATATGATACATTTGTGGGACGTTTCATGTCCATTTCCATTTCCTATGTCACTTCACCAGTGGATATTTTTGCTCCTGAATATGAAAGTGATCCTTTTCGTGCAATACCAACTGAATCGAATTTGCTGCGACATTTCCCAGTTGGTAACGATTGCTACCCGAATCCTATTTCTGATTTCCTGCTCTCCATAGCAAGCAATCTATTTCTGATGAATAACTATTATCAAATAGTTTTAGTTTAAATGATTGAAGATATGGTAGATTTGAACAATAAATTGAGCTTAGCAACTAAAAAATATAAGTACTGGGATTTTTATAATTGAATCGCTTTCGATTAATTGAAAATTTCCAGATCTCGAAAAATGGATGGAAATGTGTGGATTTTCTCTTTCACAAGCGCTCCCTTCTACACCGAATCCCATCCAAAATGACGGTCTTAAGAAGTTGCTGCAACTACCTGATAGCCTATGTACAATTACCGCCACTCACGTTCTCTCTTCATCATTTTGCTCACTGATTCACAAGGTGAAGCATTTCAAGCAGTTTCTTACTGCCACACCACCTGTACTCCTACCATTTTCTCATCCTCCACTTTTCGTCCTCTTCGATAAACCGTCATACAGCTCCAGCGACTCACTTGGTTTTCGCGGATTGACATTTATAAAGCGCCCATCAGATAAGGTATGTGTGTAATGCTTATAGCACACTTGACTAAATCATCACTAAAACATATTCATATCTTTAAAAGTGCAACTTCATTTAGGTTATATCTATCAGTGATTTGGATTATTTGGACTGTCAACTCTTAACATCTGTTGTGTCGTTATATGGGTGCATTGTTAGAGGAATTTGGTGTGGGCCATGTGATATTTAAACTATGATAAGGCTTTAAAATTGGCTTTTGCCACTATCAAAACATTTAGACAGATTTTGTATAGGCACAGCAGTATTTTGATCTGCTTCATATTTCAATATTGATTAATTATGTGTATTTCTTCCTGTTCTATTTTGTTTTAGTGACCGTTCATCGAATAGATTTGTAAAACGGTTGAGAGAAAGTGCTGTGGATGTGATTGAAAGATTCTTGAAAATTCTTTTTGCGGATTTATTCCTTGTTAAACCTAGTGGCAGTATATTCTGCTGGTATTTCAGACTGAACGGTGTGGTTTGAAATATTAGTATATTAAGTTCATGCTGTAGTCTACCTAAAAAAGTCGTCTTGCTTTTTCTTCATTCTCTTTATATGATTAAATGTATCTAATATCATTTGAATGTTGTTCGTAGTATTTATTGTGATTTCAAATTCCAGTTTGAGGTGATTGGGCACTCTTTGAAAGAAGACGAAAAGTTGAATGCTTTGAGGATACTGCTAGTTGGCAGCTCCTTCCTGAATATTATGAATATGCATTTATCTGGAGAGCTTGTGCAAGTAAGCTTTAAAAAACTTGTTTTTGACTCTTTCTCACTTTTAATAGAGAGCTGGCTTATCAATTCATTAACATATCGACTTTAGATCCATTTTACCACAAACTTAACTTCCGATAAAATCCCACTGGAAGAACTGGCAAGATTTTTCAATATTTCAAACTTTAACCAACAGTTAACACTCTATGCTGGAAACACTCAACTCATATTTCATTATAGCAATGATTCGGTATGTTTGAGAATTTCTATTTCATTAGTATAGCTAAAACCTTTTGCACCTTTAGACTAATTTTCTTTTTCTTTTTGTTATTACCTTAAAAGCATTATTTTAGAAATCAGAAAAATTAATTCACTCCTTTCAAATAACATTTCAATTTCTCGAGATACGGACTTTTGAAATACGGTGGAGCTGGACAAAATTTATGCTTTTATAGCTTTTCCTATTTTAGGAAGCTGTTAGATCTGAATTAATTCGTGAACAGACTCTCGAAATTGGTAAAATAATTTGGAATGATGAAGTAGAACGTGCTCGTTACGGTACCATTACTCGACATTCATGGACCGAATCCGAATTGTCACAGTTGCACTCAAAAGGGCTCGTAAGTGGTTATGAACCTAAGTTTCGTCCAGGTAAGTCGGTGCCTGTTCTTTGGAACACTTATTTATGGACATTTCAAAGGGTAGCTGCTTGAATTCTACCTGTTCTTTTTCTTTTTCTTCATTTGGAACTTTTCTTTTTATTTGATACATTACATTAAAAGCCTTTTCTTAGAATTTTAACCCTTTATCTCTCTTCATTTGATGCATTATAATTTGTTGATATTGTCTCGCTCGTAGCTTTGTGTCATTTTTCTGCCTATGCCACTTTTTGTTTCTTTATAAATAGGCCGTATAATCTTAACTCCCAAAATAATGAAAAAGTTTTGCATAATTTTTACAAAAATGTTATAGTATTTAAAACTCCTAGGATTATTATTTTTTTCAATCTTTTTAGAAACATTTAGGCTTCTAGGTTAGTCATTCGTTTTTTTTTTTTTTTTTTTTTTGTTCATTATTCGTGTTTCTGACCACTGTATATTGCTTGCATTTAGTTTTAATTCTATATTAAAAGCCTACTTGCAGCTAGACTCTTAAAAAAAAATGGCTTGCTTTCTCTCCCTTTCTCTTTCCCATCAACTATCTTTGTTTTATGATGTTTTACAACTTGTCAAATTTTATCATTTGTTCCACTGCTTTAATTATTCGATTAATAGAACTGCCTTAATACTCTACTGTTTGCAAATGAATTTATTATTGTTTGATGGTTTTACTGTTTATTGTGAGATGAATTAGCATTTACTTTCAACAACATATTGATGTTGCCGAAAAAAAAAAAACAATTTGGGCCTGAAAATAAAACCTTTTAGAAAGTTATCACATTTAGCAAAAGATAAATTACTATAAAAGGGACATGAATTGGAATGAAATGAAATTTTATACCCATAAGTATTAATGGAGAGGAAAGCAGGTAATACCATAATACTGTGATACAAACCAATGCAGCAAACAAACAATACGCCATGAGTGAATGTCCTGACGATATAACCCTGAAATAACCTTATTGAAGTTATTGCTAGGTTGCAAGCAATCTTCCTTCCTTGATTCTAGTATATGAAGTGAGACTGTAGTCCAACTACCTGCTCTTTTGTACATATTTCATTAACAAAAAAACAAACAAAGAAATTTGCTGTTATCAAAAAATACAAAAGTAAACAGACTTTAACAGGCGATATACATATCACACCAATTATCGTAGAAAACGATGCTTGAACAACTGGCCAGCAGACGATACTTAGAGTACCTCCTGAAGTTTAATTGACAAACATGGTTTACTGGTCTATTTGCATTCACGACAAAATTTTAAAAAGTTTTAAGACTTAAGAAGATTAATTACCAATTGGATCTTTTGAATGGCGTTTGAAATGATAGAAATGTGCAAGTATATGGGAAGAATAATCGACGGAATAACCTATACTTAAAAGTATAACAATGGTGGATATTATGTCCAAATGAGTTCCACAAACATTCAGCAATGCCAATACACCGAAATTGATGCTAAATGTAGCCCAGGTTATGAGGATACAATTCATCATTGATGGCGTTAACAGTAGGATAGTGCAGATTGAAGCCATCCCTGCAAGTATTACTCAATAGTTGTTGATAGCAGCTAACTGAGGAATGATGGATGATGCATCGAAATTAAACAGCTTTCTGGGTACTGTCGTTAGTTTGTTCTTTATCGACGTTGTCAATCGATATTTTGAGGTAAATACTTGCTCACTTCACGTTGCTTGTGGGGTCATGATCTGATTTGAGCAGTGGCGCCAAAATAATTCTTGTAGCACGAAGATAAATACTAAGTTCTTATAAAATGTCGAAATTAAAAAGAAGAAAACACTTAACATAGAACCTGCTAAAAGAGCATTGGTGAAGAGTAAGTGTGGTACTAAATCATCTTGCTCTGCCAAATCATACATTACATGATAGGTAAGAAAACGTATTGAGTAATGCTTCTCGGCCATTTTCACTTTGTCCATTATCAAATGCATTGCCTTTCTCCTCAAAGATTCAATTCTAATTTCATCCAATTCTTTTCAAAATATTAATCAATTACGCTTTATCATGCATAAGTGAGGGTCTGTCTACCTGTTCAAACGAGTGATATTGAAAAGTGGCATGTGAAGTCTACTATATCTGATTAATAAGCCTTCAAAAACTATATCCCCAGCAAAATGTCTGAAATATTGATTGTGATTGTGAACAAAGTGCTATATCAAAGGATTAAAAAAAGTTTTCAAATTCGAATTTTAAATTGGCTGTAAACGCTCTTAGCGAAGTTGCAACTTGTTTGGTTTGATTGATTAATAATTTCAATTTTAGGAAAAATAATTAATCACGATTAATGTAAAACAAGAAACTTTGGTTATCTCAATAGTCAAAAACCTGTATGCCGGATGTTGCAGAAAACGTGTCATGTTTCCGTGAAACGAAGTTGAATTGACGACAAATCGTTCAGTATTGTTTCTATTCCTAGAATTCTAGACTTTATGCTGCAGCCTTTTATATCTTTCCCATTAGTATTATTTAAGCCAATGAACGAAAAGATATCAGAAGATGGAAATATATGAAATAATAAATCCAGAAAATTACCCCAAAAAATCTAGAAATACTGGAAGCCAGAAAGTTGGTTTCATTGTATAATTAGTATTTTCGAGAATCGCAATAGCACGAAATAGACGCCACTGCAAATGGCTATCAAAATAATCCAGTTCATCTGGCAAAACTATTTCCAGTGGTGTACTGTATTCGGAAAAGTACTCTTCATACATTCTCAAATATTTGTAAGTGCTGAAACCTTCTAGCCATCATTTTATGTTGCATCAAATTATCGCATTTTTCATAACTTACTTATTTCTGAATATCATATTATCTTCGCCGAAAATCTCGAATGTTATAGTGCAGATTTCAAAAAAGCTTACCCTGTATCAAAGGGTAAAAGTGAGGAAAGTTGCAGGCCGATATCGATTTTTCTGTTTAGAATGATGGTTGAACCAATTAGATAGATAATATAGGTGAGGCAGATGAATGTGAGGAAGTACTTGTTTTTGAAAATTGTCGCATAGAACAATGGCAGTGACGATTGGGAACGTTCAGATTGTACTAGAAAGTGGATTAATCTTAACAAGTTAATTGGAAAAGTGATGTTTTGGAAATCAATTTCTTATTCATCCAGAACAATTTGTTTCAATAAACTTTTTAAATTTAAAGCATACTGGATGATTGAGTTCCTCCACTCGATTCTGAATAGCTTTGTTGTGTTGAGAAACCAATTAAACTACTGCAAAGAGAATTTGGAGCTTTTGTTGCAAGTAGAGAGCCGAATAATGTGAGTTGAAATAAGAATACGACGAAAAGTGAAACAGCGCTATAAATACAAAATGTCCGAATGATTGGAATAGGCGAAAGTGAACCAAGAGTGAAAACAAGTATATTGTCTATTGTTGTCAACAACATCGATACTATACTTTCTCTGCAATACTTTCCTATTAAATTCATAATCGTGTTATATTCAAACATCTCACCGAAAAACGGATAAAAGTGGCAAAGTTCATTTTTTTTTTAATTCAGGAATTTTGTTTTTTGTAGTCAGAAAAAATCTTCTAACTAAAATATTACGTATCAAATCACTAGAAATTAGGAAACACAAATCCATATTTCAGGAACATCATAAGAATGGCTAGTTTAGTTGCTTATGATAATCTAATCCAGTCTGTTTCGAGACTTTTAATGAGAAAAGCAAACCGGAAGGTTATTCGTATCAGATCACAACGATCAATACCAGCATTGGTTGATGAAGAAATGGCATGTTCCCAAATGGAAAGCATCATGAACATATCGTCAATGCCGATTGCTACAGTAAGTAAAACAGGGATTGCTTAAATTTGAAAGAATTTCTTAGGATTCAACATTCAGAAATCATTTGTCAAGCCTCATTGATAGAGATTATAAGAGATTTTATTTAAGAAAAACTAGAAGTTTTTTTTAACATTAAAAAATGCTCACAAAGGACGAGAAATGGTGTGACTAGTGCAACTTGCACCAGGTGTATACCAATGATATGGAGAAAACCAAAAGCTGTCACTAGTCCGCATGCTAAAAATTAAATTTAATTTAATTTTTAGGCTTTGAAAGAGGAAATACTAAAGGAAATAAAAATTAAACTTTGTTGATGCGTATAAAATCAATGTCGAAATCACTTTCATCCTTTTCCAAAAAAAAAAGAAATAAAATTTTGTCTTTGGAAGAAAAGAATGACCTCTTTGCTTCTATTTTAAAAAATTTAACCTAAAAAAACTTTTGACACAAATTGCATTTTAGTTTATGCAAAAATATGCACGACACTGTTTGCAAATACAATGATTCATTTGCAAAATTTTTGCGAAAATGCACTTGATGACGACTTTTCAAGTTCTTTTCTCAATATCATTAATGAAATATTAAAGCATATTTTACTGAAATAATATTAAAGCCAACCAGCGGACAAGACGCCATAGAAAGAAATCAACATGAAACGAAAATTATAGCCATACTTGAATGAACTCAAACAACAGAAAGAAACCAAGCAAAATGCTAGGAGTGGGAGCAATCTGAAACTTATTTGTAATTTATTATTAATTAAGTGATAATTTAAAAGAAATGCACAAATTTCATTTGAGCTACCTTCTAGTTCGTTCTACTATCAATTTCATATCCCGTTCATACTGGCTACTGCTCCACTTTGTTATTTTTATATTTGAAGGGTATTTCAAACTACGCTCCACATAACTGTCCCAGATATCATCGAATTTTGTGATATGATAAGGTGGTGGAAAATCGAAAATCATGCGAACACATCGAGCCGAAATAATGACGCCGGAATGTTTTGCGGTATGTACGCCACCATATGTGGTGCCCATGAAAATAGTCTGAGATGTGCTGAAAATTCACTGTGAAATACAGCTTTATAAACTTTTGCTACTCTATTAACAATTTTCAAAAACTGTCTTTTATTGATTGGTTTATGATATGAGATATTAATTTGGGAAGATTCCTATTTATTATTTAAGCAGTAAACAAACTTGTATATGGGAAGGTGCCAAATGGGATATTGAACAGGTTGTGATAGTGTTAGATATGTGTAGGACAACAAGAATAAATCAGGAAAACAATGTCGTTCATATTCTGGTACTTTCGAGCAAAGGTTGGAATAACTTATCATGCCGTCATTATGCTTCACCTTCAATTTTCCTCATCAGAAGATAACTGCATGGCTATCAATTTTTGCTATGAATAAAACAAGATATCCTCACACTTAACAGTTCCAATTTATTTCGGACATTTCGATAAAATTCAACAAATTGAGGTTCGTAAATTGAGCCAGACAATACTTCAAAATTGAGAATACGCAAATTTGGCGACAGAAATGTACGGTCATAATAATATATTCCATGCGGAAATATTTTCTCGATTCTGAAGATGAAATACATTTTTCAACTCTTTTTTCTCATTAGGGTGTGGTCAGAAATTACTTCACACATTTTTAGGGAATATAAATTTTAAACTCCGAAGTTCTAAGTTTTCATTTTCAAGATTTCAAAATTCAAAAATATACTTATGTTTGTTGCGTTCACTTGCTGAGTTTTGAGGTACGAAAAGTTTGCTTGAACCGATTGCGCTTGGTTCCCGAAAAAGCTGACTGAATGAATCGAGAAAGGGGATGAAAAAAATGCAGAAGGAACAAATGGGAAGTATTGCAAAATGCAATGGACGTTGTGCGATAGAGTCGCCCAAAAATGCCCCGACTTCTCGAATATAACTTTCCATCGACGTTTTACTTAGACCCAGCAGGTGATCAATAAGAATATATCAGAATTTAAAGTCAACAAGTCTTTCCAATAAGATTTTAAAGGCTGAGGTGGAATTATTTGAACCATAAATATCGGGACGTATATGACCCACTCAATACCTTCTGCTGCAGCGTATACCTAATTCGACAGATATTTAATGGCTTGTAGTATTCATTATTTGATTCGGAGCGAAAGAGGCAACAATTAGTATGTTCGTGTCTGGTGTTTTGATTGCTCAACAACAAAATTTAATATTTGTGCTGGGATAATAACTTTTTAAGATTGCGAAAGGATTGGTTATAATTTTAATATCGTTACCTGAGTATCGTCACCGTACTTACATGTAATTATCGTCCTCTTCTCTTATATCTCTTCTTATATTCGGTATCGTCAATCATTCATTTCCTTGCATTTATAACAATTCATTCGTCTACTTCTAAATTGTTCCAAATTTTGAATACATTTCAGTTTCAGGAATATTATCGATCACAAATATAATAGTGAAGAAGTCGTTTTTCCATAGCACATCTAAAAAATATCAATGTAAAATAAATTGCTATTGATAGAAAACTGTGAATTTAAATAGCATTTTAAATCAGTTTCGTTATTTTTTCATAAAAAGCGCAACAAAGGGAAAGGCTCCAATGTAAAAGTTTACTCAACTATAAATGTAGCGGACTCATGTACTTATGAATAAGTCTGAAAAATAAGATTAAAGATAAGATCAGATTATTATTTATCTGTGAACAAACGTAAATCTACAGTATGCTTTATATTCTTATGCAGTGCTGCTAATTATAGGATGTATTGATAAAATTTTGAAAATATTTTTTTTTCGGCAATCTTTGTTACTGCAATTAATTGAGTTTCTGTCAATTAAACGATCAAACAAGTTACCGTCGCAGTGTAATGCAAAATATATCAATGGTAGATATAAATTTGATCCTTTTTTGTCTCATTAGCTGAGATAAAATTAAGTATATAATTATAATTAACCATATAGCATGAGTTTGCAAGAGATTTTGCTACGACGAGTATTTTTAAACTTCATGTCTAAAGGCCTTTTTTTTTCGAGAGAATTGGTATTTTGAAGAGAAAAGAAGACAGCAACTGTTTTACTTGGAGATAATCTGAAAGAGTAAACAACAAGAAAAAAGAAAAACTTTCATACGGTAATGAAACTTTACAACACGTCAAATGAAGAGTTGTTTTTAATTTCGAGAAAAAATTTTACATTTTGGCAGAGAAAATAAAGCAACATACTTGTTGCTCATTACTTACCAAATATTGTTTTTCAAATTTTAATGAATAATTAGTGAAAAAGTGAAATGGGCAATCCATGTCATTCGCACTATCTAAAAAGTTTATTTCCTTTTCTTTTTCACATATCTTTTAAATTTCTTTTCTCAGAATTCGTTAAGGAAACTTTATTTTCTCTTCAAATTGCATATAAAAAGCCTACCACTCTGATATCTTGATAGTTAATTCAATTCTTAACTTTTTCTTTTATTTTAATAGTAGAAGCTAGTTATCTAAAATCTTATTCCTTCGATGAAATAAATGTGTTCATCGATCTCGCCGAACAACTCAATCTCACTTCATTAAGTGAGTTTTTCACTTATTTTACACATAGTTCGAAAATATAATCGAAAGAATGAATCTTCACAATGCTCGTTGATTTGGAATTCAAAGACTAAGAAATTCAGAAATTACCTAAAGAAACACATATAGTCTCGCTTGAAAAATGAAGGAGATATCTATCCTTACAAATAAAGTGCAGCATGGAGATTTCTTGAATGTTTCAATAAAACAAAAAAAGAAGTAATTGAATTTAATGATGAATAAATATTGTAATTAAATGATGTCATAAAGTTTAAGTCAAAAAAGTCAAACATTGTTTTTTAGTCTGTATTGAAAACTTTCAAAATCAGTTTGAGGTACATGCTTTCATATTCTACCATAACACAATACAAGAACAGCATGATTTCTTCTATGAATCATACATCACTTCTGAAAGCTCAAAATTCTTATTAAGCAGGGATCGTAATCACTGGGTAGGCCATTTTTAGTTTAATCCTAATTTAAATAAATCTTAAAACCTATATGAAGAAATCTTTTGCATAAATTATGGTTTAAGAATACTACTGGCTTGGCTTCATCCATCACTTTCCAGCATTATCACTTCATGCAATGTCTTCAAGTTGCCGTTGAAATAAAGGCGACTGCATCCGAATATATTATAATGCTTACGGAGATCTGCAAAGTAATTCATCGGTAGTTGGTTTATATTTACCTGTCACTTGTTTACAGGATAAATTACAAGTAGGGAACGTTTTGTAATTGCGGAAACTCAGGTCAAAAGCTGAAATCTGAAATACAAGTTTGTTTCTATTTGAGCTGTTGGGCTATGTTTACTTGCAAAGCATGCAATATTAAGTCTGTTGCATGAGTAAAACCCTCGAAATGAAAATTTCAATTTAAATTCAAATGTTGATGTTTTTTCAATTTTTTACAGATCATTTGCCCTAGATGTGTTTTTGGCATTCTCAAGAATTCGAACCTTTCAAACAATAATGAATAAGTCAAATGGGCAGAAGAAAGTGATTACATGCATATTTGGTTGGCGCGTTATTGCAATTGCATGGGTAATCATAGCACATTCTTTAATTTTAATCCAAGTAAGTTCGATTATGCTCGAAATATAGATGGACAAAGATTTTGTCTATCTATACTTCAGATTTGATATCTGTGCATGTTACAAATTAAAAAGTTGTATTTCCAGTAAGTTGTAATTTTTCGAAAAAAATTTATAATTTTTTGTGTAAGTTAAAAAAATTTTTAATATTTTGAGTTAATCTAATGATATATACAAATCAAAAAAAAAAAATTTCTCTTTCAGGGTTATTTGAAAATTTTGGATGAATATAGACTAAAAATAATTTTCTTCATCAAATAGTGACAAATAGTTTCTTCAGCATGGATGCATTCTTTCTGCTGAGTGGTATTTTAATAGCGTATAACTGATTTCAACAGAAACAGTGCAAACGTTGCTCAGAAATTTTTTGGCGTTAGTGCTTATTCTCTACACCAAAAGCGAATTACGTTCAAGCATTTCTAATAACTGATTTTTTCGGAGATTACAGGTAGTGTAAAGACAAATTTAGGCATATTTCACGCAGTTCTAAGTAAATTTTTAATTAGTCGAAAGAATAGTCTAAAAGTCTACAGCTGCAATATAAATTAAACGGATAAATTTGGAATTTGAATGCATCACATTTTAAATTGGCCTGAGAACATATTCCACCACATTATCATAATGTTAAGAATAAGAATTAGTATCATTGAAAGCGATAAGAGCTGTCTAGTTATTGAGACAGACGTATAATTAAATACATTGTCGAGAAACACCTATTCATTTAAAAAGGGTTGAAAGCGTTGAAATAAAGGAAAAAGTATAAAAGTATATTTTAATGCTGAGAGATGTGTGTGTCTCATTTGAAATGCCTATTAAAAGAATTTCCATAAGTTTGAAATAAAAGAATTGACATGGAACTGCACTGAGAGGTTTAACCTAATATTTGAGTAAGCATTTAAGATCAGTCAGTGTGCTAAGATGAAAACAATTTTCAGATTAGATAGCGACTTTTTCTTATTGGCGCAAGTTCTATTGGCGTTTTTATGGCCAAATATACCATACCTCATATTATATATTCCAGCAGAAATGCCGTGTTACATTACCGCCCAATCTGGAAAGTTGAAGATCCAAGTGATCTTGCATCAATAACTAGTGGAAACTTTGTTGTTTATCAACACTGTCATCGATGATAACTGTTTACCATGGACTTGGTTTGTTGATTCTTCCTAATTTTTGTTAGGAAATGAATCAAAGTTTCCATAAATCAAAATGAGTTGAAAAGAAGGAAAAGGAATAATTTCTCTAAAAAATCATAATTTCTTTCACACAATCATTACGAAAATGTCATACAAGATAGGACTGGTGATATGATCTGTGGTGACAATTAGTGTTTCTGCAGTGTTAAATGTCATCAAAACGAGACAATTTAGCTTTCCTCCAACGCAATTCGTATGGATGACACCAAACATATTTAATGCTGACTACACAGAAGTAATCGTTTTTTCTAACAAATATCATTAGTAGCTTACTTATACAGTGATCGACATCAGCCTTGGTTAGATTGTGTCTGACTGAATTAATACTGGTCAGAATATAGTACTGATTCAGCATAAAATAGAATCATACGTTATTGTCTATATTTCAGCATCACCGTACTATTTATATTAAATTACAATATTGAATTAGCCCTCATATTGCTGGAATACTGTTAGGATATTATCTAGTAAATAATAAACTGAAATCATTACGGAAAAAACTTTATTTGGGATGATGCTTCAGGGATGGAACTGATGGTCATATCATCTGTTATATGGTGCCTTACATCGTACCACATGGACAACAGCAATTTCTTGGCTTATTTTTGCGTGTCACAGTGGACAAGCTTAATACTTGGACCGTCTCCTAAGTCTTTCATTCCTCGCATCTCTCGAAAGGCTCTTATGCGGTATCTTTATCGCCGTTTTATTTTATAATAACCAAATATTTACCGACACGAATGCCTCGTTTTTAGCATCACCTAGTATAATCTATCCAAACTGCTCCCAGTAAACATTGGCAAATGGCTCAAGCTCACAAGGAATGAAAAAATCTTTCTGAGCCCTTGGGAGGATTATAAAATAATCACATATTTGTTTGATCACGAAAAACCATATGAAAAAAGTAGTCTATGACAATAACTTCTTTTATAAGAAGAGTTCAAGATTTCTTGTATTCTCTTTCTGTTATACATCGCCTAGACATACTTCTTGACATAAACATTTCAGTAGATATTTTTATACTTCATGTATTTTATAGGTTTGTTTGATTCATTTATTAGTAGTAGGCGGTTTATTTATAAAGAAAGGATTTCCGATCGTCTTCGATGGAATACAAACACTGCTCGTTTTTGGTATTGAACAAATCGTTTCATATATTCTTGATTTTTCTACATGGAATACAAACACTGCTCGTTTTTGGTATTGAACAAATCGTTTCATATATTCTTGATTTTTCTACATTGTTTATCATCGAGTGCCCTTTCATAAACATCGACAATGCACTATGGAAAAGATTGAAATCGCATGACGCACAAGGAATGGGTGTGGAAAAAACTGTTCAAAAAAAAATGAATCATTAAAATAAGGATAAATTTCAACTTATCCAGAATGCTTCTATTGGTTTTCATAATGCTTGCAAACATCTTATTTGAAAAGAATAAGATCATTTCAATTCCTTAATATATATTTATACAAGAGCATCTGGTCTTATGCAAATATCAGTAAAGATTATTTAAGAAAAAGATAGCTCTATTTCCTTCCTTGCTATCATCTTGTTGTTGAGACATCTGTTATAACAGGGAGGTAAATGTGCTGTATAGCTGATAATCGATCTTTTAAAGAAACTAATGTTTGCTCCGCAAGAGCTATATTCTGCTGGCTTGCAAAAGTTGAACCTTGATGGGCAGTGCCAACACAAACATGACTTAAATATTGCATTTGAGCACTTAGATCACTCTCGATAGAATTAAGACACTTTTTGAATGCTGATGATGCTTCCTCCATCTTAGATTTGCTGATCTGAAATAAAACTGAAAAACTGCCGTAGAAATTATTGAAATAACATAAAAGATTTGCGAGGATGCTATTTTAGTTTCATGAATCCCATTTCTTGGTAAATTCCTCAATTCTTACAAGTCAACCATAGTGCACCGACAAATAATCGAATAGTGATGCAAAAAATTTACATGAATAATAGACAGTTTCTTTCCTTTAATATGTACGGTGAGACTGACAGTTCCCTCCTCCTCAGTAATGAATAATACCGAAATAATGAAAAATTAAATAATGGAAATTCATATCGTTTCAAAGGTTCTGTTAAATTGCGATGGGAAAGCTGGGAAAAACTCCAAATCATTTCGCATTTTATGAAGTAAAGTTCTCTTAATTCTCTTAAAAACGAAACATATACATAACACTTGCTTGTTTCTCCTTACTCAGTTCATTGATACATGTTTGCGCATGTCTGATCAATTCAGCTATTTTCTGCTCAACGTCGCCGATAGCTTTCAACCGCCAGGCCAGCTCTGAACCGGATGAAGTGCTCAAATTCGACATATCAAAAACAGTACTAAAAAGCGTCGTTTTGGATCCACAAAATCTACAAAAAATTAGCCTGTTTACTTTGCAACGATACCCTTTAAACGACAAATAATGACAGAGAAGCATTTCTCGATACATTATTCACATATACTTAAGTGAAGTGACATTTCATCCATCTATTAGATGGCTGTTAGCAGTGTCCTACTTACCGGCATGAAGTACCACTTTGGCGCTGCTTATGGACTTCTAAAAACATCGGTTTTCGGATGTAACCATTAAAACTGAGAATTATGAACAAATTCATCTTACAGCACCGGTGTTCACATACCAACAGCGCTAAACCCGTGACCCCACCTTCGACCCACTAACCAACTTGCTCGACAGAAGTATCAAGCCCCCTCCTCACCGAATACCTTCTTTGGGTTCGGAGACGATTTGCAAGAAGCAAGATGCAGCTTTGTTGACATTGATGGTTCGTTTCATTTTGATTAAATTGTAACCAGGAAGTGTATAGTGTTGTTGTGATTTGGAATGCCAAAAGATCATGTGAATAAAGGAAATGAAGGACATAAACGATCCCTTATGTTCGTGCTTAGAGACACATCCTTTCTTCATTACTTTAAATGTTGATTCATTGCAAGAAATTTTATGTGACAAATCTCTCCGTACATGAAACATCAGATTAGATTAGAAATTTTGGTGGGACTTGTTGGGCATTTGTGAGAGACAGAGAAACTGTATTTCAGGAGAAGATATTGAAATGCGATGGATTGCAATCTCAAAGATATCACATTGGACGTTAAGTTGGGAATCGTTGTGTTTGACCTCTGATAAACTAATGACACACCAAATGTGTGTACTTCTATCGTCACAACGCAGGTGAATCTTCATTTCTATGTCTTTAACTTAAATCATTTCGTCATTTTGCGCATCCTGTATATTCTCATTTCGCTTTCTTTTTTTTTTTTTCCATTTCTCTTTCTTGCATTTAATAATATATTTATCAGTTTTGAAGTAAATTTCTTCTTTGATTTTTTTTAAAATGAATTTTTAGCATTTTTGCATCACTATTTCTATTGGAAACTGCACGACCAAAAGGTATAAATTTGCGAAGCTGTCGATTAATAAGTAGGAAGATTCCTCCACCTGGAAAACCACCAATTTGCCCTCCTGCTAAAAGAGTATTACGCTTTTGTTATCATTTTCTTATATTTTTCTTCAAGTGCTTCGGGATCTGTTATCTTCAACTTCTACTTAATTCGTTTCTGTTACTATTTTAAGTCAAAAAGTCCATTTAAACAACTTTATTGTTTAAGCATAGTTTCTATCATCTCTCATGTGCTGCATAGTGATTATTTATTCTCGTCAAACAGATGTTTATTTGAAGATGTGTATTTAAAGATATTGTATCATGTTGTGCATCATCGTTGGATGAGACCCGATGTTGTCAAAGAGTTATTATGGCGTCGACATGTTTACAACAATGCTATAGTATCTTTGCGTAAATTGTTCAAAGAAGAATATGTTAGAAACAAATATGAAGGTGCAAATTTATCAGATATTTTTATGGCCTTTATATAAAACTTCAATAATAAGGAAGTATTCTCTATAATTTAGTCATCTTTGATAGAAATCTACAAAGAAAATATTTTAAGATATGATAGCTAAGGAAAAGCGAGAAGAGAGTGAAGAATTTGAGTATTTATTATCAGTAAATGAAGAGAGAAATCGAGAAGCAGCAGAGTTGGTTTCTCTATTCTTTTTTTTCTTTTTTTTTTTGCAATAAAACTTGCGATTAAATTTATTTTCACATTTTTTTTAGATCTTTTGAATTGGTAAAAAATTTTTTAAGTGTGAATTCAGGAGAAGAGAAGAGCGTGAAAAGGAAGAGCTGAGGAAGATGGAGTGCGAATATTTAAAAAGTATTGAAAAAGAATTGGAAAGGAAGGAAATAAATATAAAACAAAGGATGAAAGAAGTGCTTCAGATGGTAATTTGTTCTTGATGCTTTTGTACTTCACTATATCTTACTTACTCACTTTTTCAATCAGTTTCCTTTTTCATCATAGATATTTTCCATTTTTATATGTTTTGTTGTATGCTTGAAATATATCAGGTTGAGCGGAGCAAATATTTCGTAACTGACGAAATTTTGGATGAGAAACTGGAGGAAGCTTTGGATAATCCAGTCGTTTATGATTACGCGGTAGATTTGCAAGGTAATAAATATTATGTCCCAGTACCGGAAAAATATATCAAAGGTACGCCTCCTCGCCAAAAGGGGCGCATGTACGATGTTACTTTGGGTACAGAGCATTACAGTAAGTTGGTGTCATTCTCTGCTGATTCGAGTACGAATGCTCTGAAAGAGGGCTTTAAACGGAAGTAAAGCAAATTTAAAATACTTGTTTAATTACATTTGATTTGAAATTTGTTACAATTTGCTTCAAGTAATTAGGAATTTAAAATCCAAAAAAAAAAAATTTTTTTTGTTGTTTAATAGTTGAATCCAATTTATAACAGAATTTATAAATGTTCTAGATGATTAGGAAGCAGTTGATAATATGGTTTAGAAATTGAAACCCAAAGAAATAAATGATAGCGATTTCACCAACTACTAATGATAACACATAGGACGCATTAGTATAGGGGTTTTATGGTATTGGTAAATATACTATTCAATCTGTGAATTATAGGTTTTTTACAAATTTTGAACTACTATTAAATCACTATAAAATACTTTTGCGTATATTTTAAATCACTATAAAATACTTTTGCGTACTGCACACTGTTGTTCATTTTTAAGTAATTACTTTCTGTATTCGTTTTCATTTTTATTATACTTGTAATATTTCTGGTGTTAACTTTTGATAACTTGACTATATGGATTTTTAGAACTTGCATATTTCATGTTATATCCATTATGTGTTCTCCTGCCGTTTTATCATGAAATAAATAACTTAAAGATCTAAATTCAGTTTCGAATTTTCGTTATTACGTCATTTATCTTTTCAAAATTGGAAATTCATGGTTAGTGGGATTGATATCGAAGCATGGAATTTTAGGTTTTGCGTTTCAAATCTGCACTAACTGTCTTTTGCCAGTTATGTCTTTCGATATAATCTTAATTATGCTTGTTCACATTTAGTACCTTGTGGTTGACACTCCTGTGCACAGCGATTTTTTCATTATCCTCCAAAAAAGCAAGCTAACACCAGTAAAACACAAGCATAAATTAGGTATTTACCGTGGATATTAATCTTTATCATTGGTTACATCTTTTTTTTTTTTTTTTTTTTTTTTTCAGTTATAAAGATACTGGTACACAGGAAGCTTTAAGCAGCTTTGCAACTACATGTGGAGACATTACCATTTTTATGAATAGGCATGAGGCAAGTGTGTGGACTGCACTATATAGTTGGGTCATTAAAGCATGGGAAATCTTCAGTTCTTTTCGGAATATTCGTAACTCCGTGGTAAAAGTAGTTCATAGGTTTTTGTGCGTCACTTGTAAATAATTTTTGGATTCAGTTTCAAAAGTTTCAATTGTTTATTATATCTTTTATGTATTACTTTTTAGGAAGAGATGCCGATACCTCCACCACCCCCATTACCACCTTCAGTATTACCTGCATTAAGTATTAGGTCAAGCACCACCGCATTGCAGTCAAAAGCTGATGATCGATCCAAACTACTCAGTGAAATTCAAACAGGTATGAAGTTGCGGAAAACTGTGACCAATGACAGGTCAGCACCAGCTGTCGGAGGAAGGGTTTCAGGTAAGTAAGCCGCATGAATATAAGTTGAGAAAGAAATACAAATAATGAAAGATGAGTTTAGACATTATGCAAAACAACTGTGATTATAAAATTGACGGACGTCATTTTCTTTATAAATTTGACTTTATTTGAATTTTTCCTGCAGATTTATCGGAGACCAATGGCAGAGCTATCACTACTAGCGGATCAAAAGTTTCTGCAGTTGGGGGAGTTAATAGTCTTTTTGTGAATGGTATCCCGAAGAAGCCCTCTGATAACAAAAGAAATCAAACAAATGTCTTAAGAGGTCTGTTTTTCTTTTTAAAAAAAAGAAAATTTCATACTGCTACCGGAAATTAATCATAAACTTAAATATCTGATCATTTTTTTATAAAACAAATTAAATGAATTGTTACATTCAGGTCCGATAACTAGTCCACCGCTTTTACCAAAACCATCTGAAATGCATCCAGCAAAGCCAATAACTCATTCAGAGTCTCAAGAACAGGTAATTTTAGAATTATCTATCCAAGCTAACTTTGTTTCATTAATTAAACTAAGTTATGATAAATGCCATTTTGTTGGAATGTTTGACGAACCAACTTATTATTTTATATCTATCCGAATACCATTTTACGCATGCCATCTTCAAAAATAAGCTTTATCTTCTTTTCAGCAACTTTTGGCACCATTGACAGAATGTTCTGAAGCTTCTAGTATATGTCGTCAAACTTCTGTCGGAATAGCAAGTCGTCTAAAACAGTTTAATCAGGTTTGAATTTCGATTCAGTAAGACACTTTCATTTTTATATTAGATGGTATTTTCATGTCAAATATAAATTCCACTTGTTAGTTTACTTCTGATGAGATTCATTTCTGAACAGAAAATATGGTCTCAGTTGTATATATCTATGTACAAAATGTCGTCGATTAAAACGATTCCTTATATTGTTTTTCATTTTCCAAGAGCTTTAGATCAATCGACCGGGATTGGCACCACCAACACCACCATCACTCAAAACCAAACCAATTGTTAAAGATATTAAGTCTCCACCGGTGAAGAAAATTCCCGTTCCAGAGCAATTCAAAACTTTGAGACCGAACAGGCCTGCTAACGATGTATCTTCTTTGCGTCGTTCTGGCAGTTCTGATGTTTGTTAATTTCATTTAGTTTAATTTTATTTTATGAGGAATATAATAGTTGTCTATTTATAATGTTGAATAAGTTAATACTCAAGCCACTAATTTTTCCCGTGAAAGAAAAATGATTGTATTTGTGAATTCGGAATTATTACAAATCTTTCACTAATCACTCACTTTTTTAGTGTCATTTCAGAATGTAAGGAATTCTCAATCATCACTATCGGATAACCGTAGCACACCTCCATCAAGTACTCCTTTACCCTCGAATCTATCTAGTTCGACCAAAATTTCGAAACCAGCATGTCCTCCCCCTCCACCACCTATTCAGGCATCTCGAGTCGGACGTCCAGTGACTAATCCATTCAACCATTTCACATCAGTTTCATCCTCCGGAATGCCCCCTAATGTATCAATCGACGAAGACTCACCTCCTCCACCACCACCTCCCCGATTAGCTTCCTGTACTGATCAAATGGATCGTTTCATCTTCATTCCGATCAGTGAGTTACCACCTCCAGGATTTTTCTCTGGAACAAAAAAAATCTACGAATATCATCCAACACGCAAAATTCAAAATGCTCCTTCGCTTTAACGTTAATTTTGACTTCAGATAGATTTATTCGATTTCCGCGCTGATTGATCAGTTGTAGTTACTCTACCATGCATCTTCTGTTTCATTTCACTGTATTTTAATAAAAACTTTGCATTCATAATGTTGGGGTTATTATGCTTAATTTAAATTGTTACTGAAGGATGGTTGGAATATATTAAGTCATTTATCTTCATTTTCTTAATAATTTTAAATAAAACCAAATTCCAACAATATAATAGATGCGGGTAGTTATGTTGAAATCCTAACTTCTCTATTTTACTGAATTATTTTTCTGCTGTATAACAGTTTTGTTTCGTGTTAATTTGGCATCATTATTCTTGGCCTTGGTTTCTGTAAGTAAACTGCTTTATCACTTTGGTTCTTGATCTGGTAAACATTCGCATTTGTTGAACGAATACGGAATATTGAACTTTGTTTTATAAATAATGCTAAGAAATAGCCGACTATTTCTGGGAGTAGAATAGTATATGGAATGATGATTAGCTTATCATCTGTTTTGTTGCTCATTTCAAAGGAAAGGTAACAGAGTTACTGAAAGTTGTATTTTAAGGTGCTTTCCTAGAAAAGAACTAACTGGAGTTTAGACAATGTCATGCTATTTTTGAACTAGTTTTGATAATATAAGATGTGCACTATAATTTTGCCTTTCGCCGATTTTTAGATTTCTTAATCAGATGTGCTTGCATTTCATTGATAAAACTGCATGAATTTGCAATCCAAACAACTGACATGAAGCAAGTTTCTTTTCTATTTTTGGGAATTATTTTAAGTTCACAAAGTGCTAGGAAGCGGAGTAAATGGAGAGTAAAAATTCTTAAGTTTCAGAACTAGAATGTCATAGAATAAGCGGGCAAAAAAATATTTAAAAGATCTTATATTGGGAGTGTTTAGAGTTTTTGCAAACAGAAAACCCTTATTATTTGCGCAAAACTATTCTTTCTCAGGATTGACGTTGATGGCTTGGAAGTTTACTTCCCTTATGACTACATCTATCCAGAACAAATTCTCTACATGAGTGAATTAAAAAAAACCTTGGATGCTAAGGTAAACTTTCCGTGGAATTCCACTAACTTATGTGCTTAGTTTTTTTAATTATATCCTTACTCTGAAATAGATCGTAGTTTTTTTTTTTTTTTTCATTGTAAAACGAAACTATTATTTATAGGAATATCAATTACAGGGACACTGTTTACTGGAAATGCCGTCAGGTACAGGTAAGACTGTCTCATTGCTGTCACTTGTAATAGCTTACATGCTGCGATTTCCGGACCATCTGGACAAACTGGTCTATTGTTCCCGAACAATTCCAGAAATTGAAAAATGTGTTGAAGAACTTCGCAATCTTTTCAAATATTACGAGCAGTGTGATGGTGTTGGTATTTTTTTTTTTTTTTTTGTTTGTCAGAAATAGAAACATATGGAAGGAAAGAGGGAGACTTGGTTTCTGTAGGAAGTTAGCCATAAATTTGGGGAACTGTCAAAAACACTTCCTTTTGTAAGGAGCTAAAACCGACAACAAATTTGTGTATAAAGAAAGTTTACAGTTTTGGATATCGTATCACTTTTCATTTGTTTAAGAAACCACCATCTTTATTTGCGGTAGCTCTTTCTGCTCGAAAAAATTTATGCATTAACGAATCGGTATCTTCGCTGCGGCAAGGTTCTCTAGTTGATGGAGCTTGTCAGAAGTAAGTTCTACAATAGGCTTGTTTCCAATTTGTAGTTTAAATTTTATACAAAAATTATTTCTTCTTAGGACAGTAATTAATCATTTGGTTGTTTTATAATGCTGAATTAAGGTTGACAGCAAGTTTTGTGCGCGCTAAACGTAGGCTTCGTCCGGACTTACCGTGTTGCGCATTCTTCGAGAAGTTAGATGAACAAAAAGATTTCAATTATCCTGATGGTGTATACAATTTGGTATGTTTGCTAATTAACTAGTTCTTTAAGGGTTCAGTTTTTATATGCTGGAGATAACTTAATTAATCTGATGTAAACTCATTTTTTGTTGAAATTTAATAATATGAATGAAAGGAATGTAATGGTTGAAGCATTTTCTGTTAAATTCTTTCTTTTACAATTTTTTTGCAGCAAAATTTGAGAAAATTGGGCCAGCAGAAAGGAATCTGTCCGTATTTTTTGTCACGCAATGTTGTCGATCGTGCACATATTGTTGTCTATTCTTATCATTACATCTTGGATCCAAAAATTGCCGAATTGGTTTCAAAAAATTTTAGCCGTCACTCATGTGTTGTTTTCGATGAAGCTCACAACATCGGTTTATAATCTTTTTAAATTCATGGACAGTCGAGAAGTTTGCTATCTTAATTTGAAAAATTTGTAACGTGGAAACAAGACATACACTGTTGACAATTGTTTTCGCTATTTCGAAAACGCTGGCTTTTCCAATGATATTTGTAATCAGGATTGACTTCATGAAGCATAAAGAAAAGATTCAGATAATATTTTTTTATCATGAAGAAAATATTTTTCAGACAATGTTTTTTAGTCATAAAGAAAACATTTTTCAGATAATGTTTGCATAGAGTCAATGAGTGTGTCCTTAACAAAAACAACAGTTGAAAAAGCGACGCAGAAGCTAGGTATACTTGAGGAGCATGTGCAAAGGTAATGAAATCGTGAAGTGCGTACATTAATGCTTTCCGGTTAAACTCTTCATTTCAAATTCATTTCATGAATTTTTTTTTTTTGCTTTGTGAACTGGTCTGATGATGTACTTCAAAAATATTTTATTCTTGTAAAAGTTTGTTCACTAGAAACACATAACTCACAATTTAACAAATTTAACTAAATTATAGGATTGTTTCAAATAGAACATTAAATATTTTTCAGGTTGAGGGAGGAAAACAGTGAGCAATTACGGGTAGAGTATGATCGTTTAGTTGAAGGACTGAGGCGTATCGAAGAGGAACGTACGAACGATCAAATTTTAGCAAATCCTGGTTTACTTTTTATCTTATTGTTTTTCAAAAATTTCCTTCTATATAAATCTAAAAGAATTTCACTGATTTAATTTTCAGTTTTGCCTGATATGATTTTGAAAGAAGCAGTGCCCGGAACAATACGAAATGCGTTACATTTTATTTCTTTTTTGCGTCGTTTCAATGAATATCTGAAACATCGGATGCGAACGAAGACGGTTCTGATTGAAAGTCCTGCTGCATTCCTTCGCGATATTAATGATTTAATGCATATTGATCGAAGGCCACTCAGGTTTTCTAGTGATTATTTTCATTCTTTTACTTTCAACTTGTAATCTGATTATTTTTTCCTTCCTTATTCAGATTCGGTTCCGGTCTTTTAAGTGATGTTCGTTTTAACTGTTTTGTTCTACATAAATTGACGATGTGACAGCAATGTGTTAAAAGAAGGAAACGAATCCGAATGAGGATGATCTAAGTATGAGCTTAAATTTTTGGATGATTCCGTCTATATAAAGTTACTGAATAGGCAGATTGAAGAAGAAATTCTTGAAATAAATTAATATGTTGGAGCAGAAAGGTCCTGTTTGCTAAAGAAAAAATTTTCCAATTTCTTGTTAAGTTGGTGCAAAAGTTATTACCTTTTTTCTAAATTTGAACTTTACTATTTGACACAAATAAATGTTACCAAATTTCATGTCATTTTAATGCTAATTTCTTCTGTTAATTTTTCAACTCATTTTTTTAATCTTATTATTTCTCTCTTCCTTGTTTTTCTTCTAGTTCTTCTTCACTATAGACCAAAAAACTGTATTGGGCAAAAGGCAAATGCACTAACTCCTTTTCTTTTTTTGAAAGCAAAATGGTCATAAAGCAATGGAGACAAATCGGAATTAGCATATGATTGAGAAACCACTGATGAATATAATTACGGTTATGTTTTGCAATGGAGAAAGGAATCTTATAATGTAATAATGAAATATTCATTGGAGTTTGCGTATAACTCCACGAAAAGTTGTCAATGAACTGAACGTCAGTTATTTGAAAATCTTTTGGTATTTGGTGCAAATTGGACAGGTGAAATTCAGCAATTAGATGTCTGTCAGTAATTAAACAAGTCATTTTGATTTATTGTATTCTCGTATTTTTAATAATAGCTAACCTCACTTTACTAGATTATGGTTTATGATACGACACAAAATAAATTATATCTTTATGCGCAAAAACTCTGAAGTAGTTCCCAAAGTAAAACTTAAACTTAAGAATGGTTATATTTATACAGTTACATTTGAGAAGTATAACCAGTAAGTCGATGAGATGTGCGGGAAATTATAGCAACTTCATTCAGCATCGGTCAGTAGAAATAGCTTGGTAATTCACCTGATGATAGCACATACAAATATTTGAAAAGAATTGGGTAATAAGATTTTTCCTCGTCATCCAACCGTTTGACTAAATTTCAACAATAGTTTACGGATGAGTTGGATGCGGAATTTTTATAGAATTTTGAAATGTTAATTAAACCCCATCTATATTAATTAATAAATATAATTTAAGTCGAGTTTGGATTTCACGACTCGAAAACATTATTACTTTTGCACCAACTTAACAATATAAATTCAGATATTATCAACATTATGCCTTTTAAATAAAGGCTGTTGCTATATTTAACAACCGTCTCTTATTTTCTGATTTTTTTCTTATTTGATAAATGCAATGTTTAAACCGTATTTAAATGGTATAAGATTTCTTTAGATTCTGTGCAGAACGGTTTGCATCATTAACACGAACTTTGGAGCTGGCTGATATATCAGACTTCAGCTCATTAGTGCTAATTACAAATTTTGCAACTCTTGTGAGTACCTATGCACGAGGTATATTTTTATTAGTTTCGGTTATTAGTACGGTTCATTTTTGGGTACACTTTTTGTATTTCTTAATACATGTTCTTATCCCTTTTTTCCAGGTTTTACAATTGTAATTGAACCACTGGATGAGAAGAGTGGTACTAGCCATAGCTGTACGCTACATTTAAGTTGTATGGATGCCTCAGTTGCTATTCGTCCTATTTTTCAACGGTATCATACAGTTGTCATCACTTCAGGGGTAGGAATTCCAAAGTTACTTTTTAGCTAAAGAGTGCATTAGGCAGTGGCAATGTTATTTCTTTCTTATATGAGATTATATAAATTATATTAAATCATTATCAGCTATTCCTAATCACATATATGCTAAAATAATAGTGGAGTGCTTATTGTATCGTACAATGAATGAATGGTATGAGTTTAACTCTTTTAATGGAATTTGTTTTCATTTTTGAAAAAAAAAAGAAGCTTGAAGCCCATTTACAAAATAAATGCAGACTTTGTCGCCACTGGATATGTACCCGAAAATTCTGGACTTTGATCCAGCGATTATGGCAAGCTTATCAATGACACTAGCGAGACCATGTATTGCTCCACTAATTGTTTCAAAAGGTTCTGTTGCTTATGCACACAGTTCGTGTCTTTAGTAATTTCATTATTTAATGCTACTTCAACTGCTACTATAATTTGTGTCTTTTATCATTTATCACAATGGTTTTACTATAAATTCATTACAGGCAATGATCAAGTTGCAATGACATCTCGTTTTGAGTCTCGGGAAGATGCTGCTGTAATCCGGAATTACGGGAGTCTTGTTTTGGAACTTGCTTCTCTGGTACCAGATGGTGTTGTTGTTTTTTTTACCAGTTATCTTTATATGGAAAATGTTATTTCAACGTGGTATGATCAGGTATTTATGTTCTATAGCATAGCAGAATCTATCTGATTTTAAGATTCAATTTCAGTGAAACAATATTTCAACAATATATTTTCAAATGTTAATTCTATAAATTATCATTTATCTCTGTTCTTGCAGGGCATTATTGATGAATTATTGAAATACAAACTTTTGTTTATTGAAACAACCGATGCGCTCGAAACAAGTATTGCTTTAGAGAAATATGTGGAAGCATGTGACTGTGGTAGGGGAGCTATATTCTTTTCTGTTGCAAGGGGAAAGGTATTTCATTAATCTTGGTTTTGCTTATGAAAGAACTTTTTATAAGTGGTTCTTTTTTTTTTTTATTGAAATGTTGGAATTTAGTTGAAATATATTTCTTATATAATTATTTAATTCATTTTTACTCAAAAACCGAAAACAACAGGTATCAGAAGGGATTGATTTCTCGCATCATCTCGGCCGTGCCGTCATAATGCTTGGCGTTCCATATGTATATACCGAAAGTCGGATATTGCGAGCGCGCCTAGAATATTTGCGAGAACAGTTGGGAATAAGGTCGATTATCGTTTCGTAATTGCGAAAATAGCAGGCATTCAAGAGAAACACTATTTTAAAGTTGGAAAATATAGGAAGAAGATAAAAATTGAAGTTTTTATGACGAAACAATAGTCGATTTTCATGAAAACTCGATGGAAACATCTGTTTTCCCTATCATATGAAATTTTAGGGAAAATGATTTTCTAACATTTGATGCAATGCGTCAGGCAGCACAATGTATGGGTCGTGCACTAAGAGGTAAAAGTGATTATGGTTTGATGGTATTCGCTGATAAAGTTAGTTTTTCCTGTTTTAATAGAAGTTTTCAAACTTGAAAGTTTTTCGTGTATAACTTTTACTTATATTGGAAGTCAAGTTTTTTTAGTCCTTTTTCATTTTGCAATAACTTGCTGAAATATTTACAAAAATTATATTTTAGAGGTTTTCACGGAAAGATAAGATGGGCAAACTTCCTCGTTGGATTCAGGAATATATAACTCCAGGCAATGTCAACCTCAGCATTGAAGAAGCTGTTATAATAGCAAGAAAGTATGATTTTTGAATATTTCATATTAATATGCATAAATTGTATTAATTATGAAGTAGTTGTAAAATATCGTTTTGAAATTTTTTCAAAGGTTGTTGGGATAATAGTCTTTCTGAAATTTTTGTAACTCAGAGAGTAAGTAATCAATAGCATTTTTTGTAGATGGTTCCCATTAATGGCACAGTCGTTCACTAAAGAGCATCAGCTGGGAATTTCATTGCTTACTGAAGAAATGCTTCGCGAAAAAGAGTTGTTGGGGAAAAAATTTGGCCATGTTTTAGAGGAGGTTGATTAATAAAAGTGAAATGTATGTTTGCATCTTCGAGACCAAACATTTCATTTTGAAATGGAATATGAAAACCAGGAATGGCGGACTTTTTCAAATGAAGTATGGATCATTTCTGTCAAGAATTTTCAAAAATCCTGAAAATAGAAACTATCTGTTTATGTCAATTACCTTTGATAGAAATTCATAGATTTCATAGAGTTCTGTTTATGTATACTATGTCTATTTAAGAAAGTAATGAAGGCCTTTTATCTGAGGACATATTCTGGGAAAAGTAGGTTTTAGTTCAAAAACTGGTAAAACAAATTAAACTAATTTATAATTTGTTTCCTTTATTTTCCTTCAATCTAATGGACAGATTTTATTTTACGCATTCCTGCTACTTCAACCAAGTTCTATTTTGTTTCGTGATAAAATCTTTATAGCAAATTTTGAAGATTTCTTTACATTTATATGTATTTGTTGTTCTGTTTCATCTCATCGATATTTAGCAGCATTTGGCGAATACCGTAACTTTACTGCCCTTTACACAAGGTTAAACGGGTCTCATTTATTGATTCATATAGTGCAAGGAAGTTCTTTTTTACTGTTTGCCTTTTCCAGATAAAACAGACTTGGTTAAAGTTGTTTATTGGCTTAATTTTTTTTCCTAAACTTGTTTTGAAACATCTGTGGTTGGTTCCCATTATCCATTGTTTATTTAGAGAAACCGTTTTTGCCAATTTCCCTCAGCTGCTGTCCCTTTTCATTTTGTTTAATTAAATGAAAAATAAATATGTTATCATTTTCCGAACAATATTTTAACGTGGCTAGCAGCCATATGATTGATTTTTATGAAACATAGCAGTATATGCATACGAAATTCCATCATTGTAGAATTTCATATATATGTTATATTCTTACGTTTGGCACTTATACACTAACAATCTTAACTCCATAAGCCATTCTTCAAATGTATTTAGTGGCTGTTAAATACACTTAGATATATCTGGTGTCCTTTTCAAAATCGCAGCTTCATTCGGACTGCAATCCTCACTGAAATGACCCGTGCATGAAGAGCTATAAGCACTGAAAAGAATGCAGTTGTTGGAATGAAGTGTAATATGCCTCTCGTCTCGGAAACAAATCGCAGTTCTCAAGCGCTAATGTCCAATTGCCACCATTGTGGAATTTTGTAACGATTGTTGTTTGTAATAATTTCTTTTACCGAACCATTTCCTTCAGGAATTGATGATTTGGCGAATATTTTTGCTTTGATTGTGTGCGCATAGTCTCTGATATGATAGAAATATGGTGTCGACTCAAGACCGGCCAACTCCCGCACCACGGGTCAGTTTAACCGACCGAAAGCCACTTGTACCAAATCGTGCCTTGAAACCAACAGTTACTCGAAATTCTTTTATTACCTTACATGATGCAACTAGAAGGATATCAAATTCATGGTTGCATCATACTCATCTGCCGATCCAAAATTTATCATCAAGAAGAAATTTACGCCGTGTCAAATCTTTGTCCGCTATCCGAAAGACGGTGAAAACAAATATTAAAAGATCTGCTTCACTGATCATTCAGGATACTGATTATTCTAAAAATAAAAATAAATCAATATTGGGTTTGAAAGATCCAGAAGGTTGCGTTGCAAGGATTGCAAAAATGCTGGATTCGGTAATTTCCGGGGATGCAACTTCCGCAATGAGATCAGCAGAGGAGCAGAGAGGTTCCTCAATAAATATAAATTTAGTAGCAAGACATAATTTCTGTACTGGAAGATCAAAATATTTGTTGAAGGGTCGCACTATTTTTGATGCTGTGAATGAAAGTCACAGTAATATTTCGGTAATCTCCGGTTCAGAGAATGTTTCACGGTGTGGTTTGTGGAACTCAGGATATATCGGTCTTGAAGCCTATTTGAGCATGGTGGAATTACTCCATGATGATGTCTCGTCAAACAGTGGGTAACTTTTTAATGCTTTTGATATTTGTTGTTATATATATTCATATCTATGTGCCAGTTAGTTTCAGACGTGAAAGAAGTTTCGATTCTTCCGGCAAATGTTCTGATGCTGGCAGTCTTAAAAATTCAACCTTGATTACACATTCTTGGAATGAAAACAAGAAGATGAATGACCGAGACATTTTAGAGGATAAATTGCTGTTGTCGGCATGGGCTGAAGTCATCATCTGCAAGAAAGAATATGGAAAACTATGGATTGTTGTCGAAGAAGGCGCTCTGGCTGGTTGGATTACTAACACTAAAGTATAATTCAGTTCATTCTTTTGTTATACTTCTGAAGATGAAATAATTAGAATACATCAAAGTAAATCATATTTGCAAATAAATTAAAACTGTTGGAAGGCTAATCAGAATAATGTTCGGTCCACATCGTTTTAGGAGCACACAAAACCGTCCTGAAAAGTGTGGAGAGAAGTAGAACAAAACTAATGTAAAATGAAAAGTTGAATTTTTTACTGAACAAAAAACTTTTTGAAATCTGTTCATACTAACAATATTATTTTCGAAATGTTTATATAACTTTTAAAAAAACTGCGAAGAAAAACCCACACATTTATGAACAAGGGTAATGAATTTTGATTACATCAAAGGCTTCTAATTAATCAGTAATCAGATATGTCGAAATCTATTTAATATTTATATTTGCATAAATCTAGTAATTGGATTTAATGACAGAGCAATCAAAATAACAAAGATTTAAAAGTACAACGGTAACAAGTTACAATCTTTATAGAAAAAACAATCAAATCAACTGATAAAGTTAATTTATTTTGCCGTGCAAAACGTTAAATGATAAGTGCACTTTGTCTCGTGTTTTTATATTCACGGCAAATTTTTCAGAATTTTAGTTCTAATCTCATTTAATAGAAAAACCATTCCTGCTGCTGTAATAGTGTACAGTAAAGCTTACTTGTTTTAGGATGGCGATCCTGTAGTTGGTCCCTACTATCTGAAAAACATTTTGTATGTTGGGAAAAATCCAGTAAATGGTTCTGTTGAGTTACATATCCGGGAAAATTTTTTGTGCAGTCATTGGACAAATCTTAAACTCAAAATGGTTGCCGAAGTAGAGAAGTGGATTTTGGATATTGTAAAAGTAAGTGGTTTTTTGGTTGCTTTTTAATTCAATAAAAAGTTGCTTAGTTCGAATTCTTTAATAAAGCATTCATTGCAAGTTTATAGTGTATCATGCCGAAAAATGAATTGTTACTGTACAGTCTAAGGAGTCTAAGTGCGGGAGGCAGTGTATGGATACGTCAGGGAACAGCGTGCGCTTGGTCAAGCGGTTGGATGTTCCTCGATGGAGTTAGTTTCAAGTTTGGACGGACTAAGTTGCATTAGCATTTATGTAATACTATCCGGTTTTTATATACCTAAGTTGCATTAGTATTTATGTAATACTATCCGATCTTTAATTAATACAATTAATTTCAAATTTTCCGTAGTAAACTGAAGAAATTGCAGCACAAATTATATTACGCATTGGATAGTTGTACTATATTGTTTGAACTTGATATACGTAAATTTGTTGGAATGAAAAGTATACTAAGCAAAGTTGATTGGTGTGCATCGGTTGTTGGTTCAATGAAAGGGCCATTCCTTCTGTTACAAGAAGGAGGGTTTGTCTTTTTTCAAAATATAAAACTTTAAAATATTTCTATGAAACATTCACTTTTAATTTGTAGATTCTTTTAGTTCGAAATACGTTTTTAAAATATGAGAAACTATAAACAAAAATCGGAAATCATTTTCCAGTCTTGTTTATAGTTCTTTATTTGTACAAGCGGAGTATGATTCGGCTACTTTAACGTGGATTGATTTACTAAATCATCAGATGGAATGTAGTGGCTATCGGTTGGAGGACTCGAAGTTAACATCAGATGATGTTCCTGTTATTGTTGATAAGTAAGCTTATGATCGAAAGTACTAAATGCTAAGGTTTACTAAGGAGTAAATTCTAATTTCTAGAGAAAAAAAAGTGGATGAATTTTATTTTCAACAAAACAGTTAAAACATTACTGCTGTTTATGACATTTTTATGACAACCAATTACATTTCAATTTGCAGGTGTATAAAGTTCATTTCCACATATGGTCTTCTACAACCCGGTTTATATCGTCGGAATGGTCCTAATGTTGAAGTTCGTTCACTTCTAGCTGAATTCAGAAAAGGCAAGTTTTCTTAAATTTTTTACTTTTAAGAAATTTTAAATATATGAATTTTGTTATTCTTTGCTTCATTATTTTCGTATTTTTTTCATTTCGTTTTTTTTATTTAATTCAGAAATAATGATTTCCGTTAGCATGCATTTGTAATTTCAGATCCTGTAAATGTGCATTTGTTGCCTGATTCAGGTGATATGACTAATGTAGTGGCCGATGTACTCCGATCGTTTTTCAGACAGCTTGATTCTCCACTTGTTCCTTATCACATTCAGGATCGACTATTCGCTGTTGCTGACATGAAAGGTGTCGGGTTCACAGTTTCCTCATTGCAAACATAATTTCTATGAACTCATTTTCAGATAGAGCTAGATTAGATGAATATCATGAAATTTTGATGGGTTTGCCACGAATACGCATTCAGACATTGAGACGTATTCTTGATCACTTAAAAGATGTTACGGAACTAGCATATGCAAATTTAGCAACCGTCGAAAATGTTGCGAAAGTTTTTGGACCAACATTATTTTCAGTCGAACAGGTTTTTTGTTTTATTATTTCATCTTTCCTTTCACATTAAAGACTCTGTGGCTGTTTAGTGTAGGCTATCTTATGACTGTTGCCCCCACCGCTTGGTATGCTTTATTTAAAATCTACATTTAGTCTATCGCTACTCAAGCTGTGGCATAAATCTCACTGCTTGATCAGTTTCAACATGATGTTGAAATTCTTCTTATTCTCATTTATACATCCTTTGCCATCATTTCCTCCCGCGATATATTAAATCACATTTTTGATTTCCATTATTAAACTCCATTTTTAGGGTAATGGAGTAGATAACAACAACTTTGTTGCCACGATACAGCAAGTGAACCTTGTCAAGGATCTTTTAACTTATTATGCTTCTATATTCCGCATTTCAGCGCGTGAAATGATTATAAAGTCAAAAATAAATATGTTGCAAGAGAAATCAAATCAAACGAAGGTTTTAAGATTTTTTCAATTTTTGTTCCAAAATTTCAATTTTAACAAAGCCAAAGTTTGTGTATCGGACTTCAGGCTCGTGCAGATGGTTTTCTTGTTCCTGTACATATTCTTGAGAAAGATAATCATACATTCAATGTGCAGTCATCTTCGAATGCGGAACAAGTGAGCATTTTGATTATCATTATTAAATTATTAACTATATAGCTGAATCTTTGTTATGATTTAAGTTTTTACATTGATGGCGATTGCAGGTCTGTGATGCAGCTAGAAATAGGCCAGTTGTTCGTAATGAGGCTGATGTAAACAATTTTGTACTGTTTGAGGTATGATAACTATTTATTATGAATCATCGGACGAAAGCCACTCGTTTTATTCAGTAAGGTTTTGGATAGATTCAGTTAATTAAAATATTCTTTTAGGAAATAAAATGTGGTCAACTTGAAAGACGCGTGAATCCGCCTGAGAAAATGAGCTCAATGGTTACTGGCAGATGGCTTGACTGGGAACCTGCTGAATGCTTTCTCCTATTTAAGAGAGATCCTATTCCATATTCATTTAGGGTTAATTTTTTTTTTGTCCAGTTTTTTTTGTGTATTCTTGCACATGCAATTGAGGTGGTGGTACTAAAGTCTTGGTATATGTTTACATAAATAAATGAACTTATTGGTACGACATTGATCCTATTCCATATTCATTTAGGTACATGTTTAAATAAGTAAATGAAATTGGTGCGACATTGGGTCAAGCGATGTATAAGGATGAGATCAAAATTAATTTGATGCATTAGAGTTTCTATAGATAAACTGTTTTGTTTTGAAAAGTGAGGGAAAAAAATAATAATTATAGAATATACGTGTTGTTAAAAAATAATTATGATAAAAATGTAATAAAAATGAAAATTTACAATTACTAGCTTAGAAAAACAACAATTCAAATCTTTTTAAGATTTTTTTTTTCTAATTTGGTAACAAATACTTAGATTTTATAGTATATAAATAAACAATAATTTTTTCTCTCCAGCTTTCATATCCATTTGCTGATGATGTGCGGATTGCGGAGCAAGGGACAAAATCGTTCAGTGTTGGTCATCTGAAATTAGAGGGTGGATTAGTTGCGTACTACAATAAGGTACAGTAAACTACGAAACCATGTTAAATTCCAATATGTCGCGAGTTTAACGTGAGAATAAATATTGTTTTGTTTGGCTAGTTAACAATTTTCAGGATTATTCCAGTCTTCAGTTTGGTTACCATGATAATGGTAATTTTGGTGGTGATAGAAATCAGTTCTGTGTTTTTTAAGTAACGTAATAATTTCGGTTTGAAATCCAGTTAATGATACTTTGCAGTTTGCACCGTGTAAAGATTTGCCATAGCATTGATATTGTCTCATTTCTATGTTTTTATTTATTCCCTCATTTGTTTTTCATTTAATTACTCTACTTTCTTATTGATTAAGAGGTACTTCACCAACTAATTCAGTTCTGAACCAAAAGCCGAGAAGTAAGGTTGACATACTGATAATTCTGAATGTAACAAATGATGCATAGTTTCAGTTTTTTCAGGGCTTGAAAAAAATAAGTGAATGGCATACGGACGATATACTGTGGTACATTGGACATGAGAGCAGTCGTAAGCCGCCTTATCCACATACTCTCACATTTATATTACCAAAAGATAATAATTTCAAGTACAAATCAAAATACATGGGTTATTGTGTCGCATTTCGTGAGGCGACTCTGAGGAGGCAATGGCTCAATGCAGTAGTCAGTTCACAGCAAGATTTCCATGAAAATTCTGTAATGCCCTTGGTGCAAATTTAAATTTTCTAGTTTTTAAACTTTAAAATGGGAAAATACATTCTTAATATTTGTACTTGCTAAGTGGATTTATATGTTGCTTTATTTGAATCAATACATGTTGTTATATATATATATCTCAAAAATATGTCTGCCACTATTTATGTACTCGTACTTTTTTTTTTACCTCTTCAACAATATATGCTTAATCTAGACTGTATTATGGTTCACAACCAAATATGACAGTTTCTTTGACACGTACTTTGAGAGTCATTTCTTTCTTGTCTCTTTATGGATAGTGAATTCCAAGCAGATATATTTTGAGATAATTGTCTATAGACTAGTTTATACTTAATTAAAACGAACAATTTGCTGAAAGTTGATCGAATAACCGAAAAGTTGTTTGGTGCTTTTTCGTTTTAATTAAATATATCGCCGCATAAAATAAAGTATGATTTAGTAGATGTCATGCTATTTTCCTGTATACATTTCGTCACTGTGTTAATAAAACAATGTATAATTATTTTTGAATTATACGGATACATTTGTTATATTATTAATTGGTACATTTCTACACGATCAATTTATTATAATTTAGTCATCGAAGAAAAAAATCCTATGCTTTTATTAGAAGAGCGAGATGTATAATTTCTATTATATCACTATGAAAACGAGTGCGACCAATCTTTGATGACGGAATTAAAAAGATACCGAAGTTGTGTACTTTGATTTGAAAACTTTTAGTCTAAGAGAATTTTGCACTACATTTTAAAGTTAATAGTTCCTAAATGTCGCTTCATTCATTATTTGGTGCATGGGCGATCTAACTACATGATTGTGTCATTATCTACTTCTTGCCGTTAATTTGTGACGTTGACAATGAAATGAAGTAAGATGCAGAGGAAGTTTAGGAACAGGTGGATAAGAAATTGTTTGAATTAGGATGCTATCTGTGAGTGTATCTAAGCACTGCTAGTGAAGTATAGCGGTTCAGGGTTTAATGTCATTAGGAGTATATGTGTTTCGTTTTGAACGACATCGCTTTTATTATCTATGTCGCACTCTTCCGAAATTGTGTGATGCTATGGTAGTGTGTGATAAAGTCATGGCTCAAATTTAAACAGTATTCGAAACAATTGTTTAACTTGATTTCAGGATAGCTTTATCGTTTGAAATTTCAAAATAAAACTTCAGAAAGTTGATAGGGAAATGCCGGACTTTGTCTTTCCATAATATAGCTCAGCTTATAAGTTTAGTAAAGGCTACAAATTAGTCAACGTTTTGCTCGAGAATTGCTCGAGATAGCAATGTTGATCCGCTTCCACTAGAGAAGCAATTAGAGAATGTGGTCTATTTTGAAACAAATGTTTCCATCTGAAAATGATCAATGGATGTTAGAAAGAAAAAGATAGCAACGGAATGAAGTTGTGTTGTGATCGTCGAACTCGATTTTTATGAAATAAATCCAGAGTGATAATGAATAACGGAAAATGCTACTTCTCTCTGAAAATTTCTGATGTAGACCTCCTCAACAATTTTTTTGTATTTTCCACTTATGTCACAAAGATTTTTAGATCTTGAAAGGACCTAATATTATACTGTCTGTCGTTGTTATTTTCCGGCCCTGGTTCAACACATGACATTTATAAATTTTTTATTAATGTAAATCTCGAAAGCAGATCCTGAATAAGATTTTCACTTCTGATGAATAAATTAATTGAAGCAATTTTCAGCATTGTGTTTGGCAATAAATAACAGTTGAGATGTTGAGTCTAATTCCTCAATTTAGTTTAATACCTTTTTTTTTTGTTGACATATAAAATGAATTATAGTAATTTATGGTTCACAAGGTTTTATAGCAATTTTGAATAAAAAAGTAAGCATAAAATAATGGACGATACTGTACAGTTTCATGTTGTGCTTAAAAAGATCTCAATCGGCGTTATTATATCGTATTTTGCATTGACTCATGTACTGAAATCGAAGCTTTAGAATTTTTGTATGTGGTACTGTTCGCAATAAAAGAATTTCGAATTTCATATAACGAACGGGTAAATGACATTCGATCATGTAATTCCAGCATCTGTAGTCGTGTCGGCTTCTCGATACTATGTGCCAACGATGGTGCACTGCGTGGTTTCGAGTATAACGATGGTAGATGATGTGAACGTGGCCTGCAAATAAATTTAATTTTAAGATATCCATCAATGCAAAGCGAATAACTAAACAAATTACCAGCAATATTTCATTAATTCACAAGTATGAACTCTCAAATACATTGACGATTATTGCACTTCATTACATGATGGACTGTAACGTCACGGAAGTACTAAAAATTAAGACTCTGCAAAATATTCATACAAAATTGAAAAAGGCATAGACTTACGTTGAAGGCGTATAATTGTACTTTCGTGCGACAACATTTGGTCGTCCTCCTGGATAAGTTATCGAAATGTTACGGATTAAGCTCGCATGCGAAGAATTATTGTCTTTTTTGCCAAAAAATGATGCCGGAGCAGGATACCAGGGAATGGTTGGTTGTGAATAGAAATGGATTCGAGTAGGAATCTCATTACCAGTTATCTCAGCTACTCTCTCAAATGGGAGCTTAAAACCGTTAATTTATAAATGTGTTGGTTTTTAAAGTAATTTTAATTGAAAGACAGAAAAAGAAAAGCAAGAAAGCAGAAAAAAGTAGTCTCCATTTTAGACAATATGAAATACGGTCCTAAGGAATACCAGAAGTCAGAGAGTCAAGATCGACTTTTTTTTTGAATTACGAGAACCCTGTTAAGCTTTTTGATTTGATTCCATTGAAAAGATTGCAGAGTGAATTTAAAGAACTCTAAAATTATTTCTATAATGGATTGCACTTTGCTACTCTTAGCGAACATATGAAAAATGAAGCATCATTTACCTACCTGAGCCATCAGTTTAGTTATTTGTGCTGTCCTCTCACTGAGTTCATCAGTTAGCTGACGAATTCTGTTACTCTGAACATTTCATTTATGTGTTTCTTCAGCATACTTTTTGTAGTTCAATAACCAAAATGTACGCACATGTCAAATAAATTTTTGTAAAATTGTCCGATATGCAAAGTTATACTCTAACTAGAAATTTAATCTGTTACTGTTTTTTAACAACTTCGTCCGGAAAAGACAAAGGAAATGCTAGACAAACGTTTCCGATAGATTTATGGACTACGTCTAAGTAATGAAGATAACGATTCAGATTAATCAAGTAGTTTTCAAGTCAGAGACCGTTATAAACATAATTTTGACACGATCTAGATTTTAAATTATTTTCTTTTTTTTTTTATTTTATTTTATTATTATTAAAATTTCTATACATTAACGGAGATGTGAGGAGCCTTTCTAACAACGAGAAAATGTTGATTGGTATTAAGATAACCGTCATGATAAGATTTCATGCTAAGATACTATTTCTTAACAACACCTTTATTACTTTTCATAATACTAGTACTGATGAATGCTGAAAACATGATAGTCATTAGGATGGGCAATTAAACAATGAAATTAATACTTTACCTGATAGGCAAGTTGATTTTTCAGCATTCTGATCGTTTCATTAGTTTTTTGCTCTAAATCTCTCGATTTTTTCTCGCATTTCTGTAACTCTTGATTCAGCTTATTCGTATTCTGCTCTGCTTTTTGCAACCTGTAGTCTTTATCCGATCGTGTCAAATGAATAACTATGTTTCAAAATAAATCTTGTAAATGAATTCTAAGCAAAGGGAGGATTTTTTTTTTTTTTGAATTCTAAACAAAAAATGATTTAAATATTTAAGCAAGGCTTGATTTTATTTGTTTGGACCTTAAAAATTAATAATTATCCAGATGCAACAGTAAGTTTAGGTTTAACAAATAAGACATTTAATTCTAAAGAATATTTGCAATTCTTTTTACTTTTTTCAATTGATGATCGGAGACAGCAAGAAAAGAAGAAGCTAAATAAAAATATTAAAAACCTAAGATTCTATTGAACAGGTACTTGTGTTTCTAAAAATCGATCGATTATCATTGAAGTTAAGTGAAAAATGTTTCTTCCATTCGAAATTTCAAGCATTTAGTTCTTCTACATAGAATTGCGAATGTTTTGCTGGCCACATTCACGCAACATCCTCATAAGATAATGCGCTTGAAATTTAAAAATTTTCAGATGGCTTATCTTTCAGTATGTGAGAAGAAAAAACTGCCTTTTTCGAAGCAGCTCATTTTCATTTTCGAGTGTCGTGTTGCTATCGAACGACTTTTTCACATAAAGTCTACGGTAGAGATCTATAATGGATAAAAAAGAGGCAAAACCATTTAGCTGAGTACTGAAATGTTAGAATTAAAATTGAGGAATAGGAGAATTTGTTCAGTAGTAGTATAATAAACTGAGGTGGATAATAAATCCTGCTTCATGGATATTTTTGTTAAAATTCAGCTGAATGATACTGTGACACTGCTAGGATAAAATAAGGAAATCACAGCATTTTACAAACAGTTCAGCTTTCAGTTATAAAACCCACTTATCCAAGATGAGTTTTATTCGTCATCGAGCTGGTTTATAGCTATCTAAAGATAGCAATATCACCAATTAAAGAGTAAGAAATTATCGAGTTACAAAGTTCTGCATCAGAACCTTTGAAAACTTACTATTTGAAATCAATTTTTTAATGTTTCAAATTACTTTGGGTATAATTTGCCATTACCTCTCAAATGGTGATGAAGTCTTTCAATTTCGGCGTGTAATCCAGTTAACATTTGAGAGTTCTCGTTTTGCAAAAAGGATATTTGAGCAGTTTCATGTTGACGCCACATATCATCTCGTTTTTCAATAGCCACAGTTATACGGTGTGCACAGATTTCATTAATCAGACTTCCAATTTCACTGAGTTCAGATTTCTAAAACTATTGAAATGTGATCAAAAATCACTACGATGTGAAATGCCATAAGTGAACATTAAATCATGCACTTTTTCATTTCATCCTTTCACATATTCTAATTTAGACACAGCTTTTCTAGATTCTAGAGATCTAAATTCTAGAGAACACTAAATGACGGAAGTTTTCCGACCTATTCGAATCTTAGGAATATAACATGTCTTAATATCCACTATTGTTACCTTAATCGCATAAGGTGTTCCTCAAGTTGAGCTTGTAGAGTTTTGCAAAAGAGTCACATGGAAGCAAGAATCAATCAAAATTATATAAAGGATAAAATATCACTGACAGATTTATTAAATATATCATTTAAAAAGACACAGGCATGTCTAATTACATATAACTTACTTTGCATCCCTTAAAATCATATACTCATTAGTTGCTGGTCCCAGTCATTATTGATTATTACTCGCTGAAAGCTTTACACGACATACTGTTATACTCCATCTATCTTTTTCTGACCTGCTGACTTGTTTTTTGATTATAATAAGAAAAAATGAAGTCACAAATTAACCTCGCATCATTTTAAAAAATGGGAGAAATTCTAACTATTTTCGAGCTCTTGAAAAACAAGGAGCAGTTGTAACTATCCATTTTATTTCCGCTATAACAAACCTATCGATAGATAACAGCATAGGATCAGAAAAAAGAACGCTAATTAAAATTTAAAAGATTTTTTTGTTAAAGTAATTTTAGTATTGAAATAATTTAGAGTAATCTTTTTTCCAAACAGTCAGGATAATTGCAATTAATCATAAACAGAATCGAAGTAGTTTTTAGAAATAACAGCCTGATCTACTTGTTTTACTTAAATTTTGATGAGTTCTAGAAAGTGCCCTGGATTTTCTCTGATGTGTACCAAAATGAACAAATGCAAATTTATGTTTGTGAATTATAAATTGGATTTTATTTTCCTTTTGAGATGTATGAATTTGATGTCAAATAAAAACAATTCGATATGCAATATATGTGTACTTTGCTTTATCACTGGATGCGTTTCGCTGTTTTCGTGTACTTCCTTTTTATCACTCATTGGATTTTTCATGAAACCGTTACATATGAGAATGCTCTTTTGATAATTTCCAGTTTCCTTTGCTATCTATGAGAAAAGCAAGCAATAAATGACTTCCGATAGTTCAGATGCTTTCGATAAATTATCTAATTTTAAAAATATGTAATCAGCGACATAAGAAAGAAATGCGTGAACTTCGCAACTTCCCAAACTATAGAAAAATAGAACATATTTATGTGAAACCAGTCTGCTACATTTGAATATTTTAGTATGCGCATCATTTCGAGATCACATCGATTTACATACCGGAATGAATTTTGTCAATACTTGTGCAGTTGCTTCTTCCACATCTTGATCAAAACATTGTATTTCTGCCATGCATTTTGAGATATCAATGCCGATACTGGCTGTTCTTTTTTCCGGTAACTCTAATTTCGGCACTGCAAATTTTAGAATTATTAAATCCTTAAGATTTAAGGTTGGGTCAGTAATAGACTGATTACTGTGAACAAATAATTTAATTAGAATAAAAAGATGTAAAACCTTTGATTTTTACTTAATGAAAATTTCAGGTTATATAAGATACATGACAAAGAGAGTATGATCATCATGACATCATATCGATTAGATCGACAATTACCTTCATTCAAAAATTCCAAAGATTGAACTTGAAAAGCCCAAAAAGGAGTTAAAAAAGATCGGTCGAGGATCGCTAAGAAGCCGAAGTTGATCTAATTTCCAAGTACATCTACCTAAAAAGTTCCATGTACATCTACCTAAAAAGGACGGCGCATACTATCATACATATTTGCTAGTTCCGGTCGATTTCGTATTCCTTATAAAATGAGTAAAAATTTTAGTGAATCACTCCAAGAAATGTGGGGCAGTTTGATTAAAATGACACCTTTTAGCGGTTGTGCACAAAGTGTGAATGACATATTCGTTGCAGAAAATTCAGGCAATTTTATGCCACAGGTCGTTGACAGTTTGTCCGAGAATTCTTAAAAGACCAATCATGTTATCTGAAATATTACTCAGTCTTGAAATCTTGAAAAAGTCGCATTGACATTCATTTTCTACTATAATAACGTAAGCAAAAATAGCAAAAATAAGGTCCAAATATTAGCAGAAATTTTCAAAGTTACATGGAAAATTTCTGGTACAATGCTTACAGGTATTATTCCCTTAGTATGATATACACACACTGTAATAGTAGAAATCAAAAAAAACCTATGGTTGGTGGGAAACAAAACTGAAAAATGAGAAAGAACATTCAGGAATTGATGATGAAGAGAAGAAAATTATGAGGAAAAGCTTACACCTCCATAACTAGACAAAGATAGACTAGCAATAATTATGGGAAATGAAATTTTTTATCAAATTCTGTTAATATCGATAATCAATAATTGTAATGCACCACTATCTACTAACCATGTCCCAAACAAATTTGAAATAATTAAACTTAATGTCCTCAATGCAAATGAATGAAGCGTGAAATGCAGGATTAAATTAAGTGAAAATTCATTTTCACGTCCGCAAAATATAACGAAAAAGCTAGAATGAAATATGCTGCCAAACTAGAGGTTAGAACAAACTTTAAACTGATATTGATAGTACTTGACTGATATTAACATTGATGTTGACAGGATTGACTTTTCATAAGGGAGTAAAAGAATTGAGTAGACTGTTAAAGACTGTCATCTCTTCAATGATTATCGATTTGCCATCTTTTATTAAATGTATTTAAAGTCTCAAAAATAACTTTGACAGATTGGAAATTTATTTTAAAGACTTTAGCCATGTTGTGTAATCACTGAAGTCTTTGTACGCATGGTTATTCGACAACAGAACCGAACAAACAAGGACAATGAAGATTAATGAGAAGTGCTCCTTTCATTCAGTAAAAACATCCATCCTTACATTATTAATTAAAACCTTCCCTACTTCTCCCGACCACAATTACCAGCAGTGAGAAAGAGCGATAATGGGATAATTAAAAGAAAGAAAATTTTCAAAATTCGAGTTTAATGCTATTTTCAAGTGAGAATAGATTAAGTTTTCTTATGTTTCAGCTTTTATAATTTGAGGGATGAAGCCTTATTACTTGTTTCAGATTGAATGTGAATTGAGCCTTTGCCAGAAGCATCCCAGAAGCAACAATATCAATTCGTTTGTGGAGAATAGTTCAAAAGAGAAGTGATCCTTCACTCTTTACAGTTGTTAATCAGTTCATTGAAGGAAAGCAATACACAAAATAGTGAACCCTAGTAAGCCACAAAATGATCAATGAAAGCGGATAATATTATTCTCAGGTAATGAATGACTACTGAGATGGCATTTAGTATAGAATGATTGATATTTGTAGGCTCTTGAAACTATTTCACAAAGTCATAAAATGAAGGCAAAGGTTAAAATGGGTGATTTTTACGTCTACTCTTCCAGCTTATCATCATTTCAAATGCCATCGTGAACATTTAGATGACAAAGTCTATTTCTACTATTAATTTCACTTTACTTTCATTGGAGAGCAGAATGTGCAATAAAAGCACAGTGGAGAAGACAGCACATAAGAGTGGTATGCCCAAGAACCTGGAAAGTGTCGGCTGCTGCGACCAAGTGATAGCCTAGTCCCAAGTGAAATGAAATGAATGGAGCCGAACAGCACAGCAAACCTTAGCAGTAACCTTAATCTATCCAATACCCTCTCTTACCAGCTCGTTTTTATTCATTCACTTTTCCACTCTTCTGCTTTGAAAACACATAAATGTCACAAACACATCGACTGATTCGGAGTGTCAATGTCAGTGCATAGACGATGCAGATGCCGTAGAGTTATAATAGATGTTTTTTGGAGAAAGAGGTGGGTAGTGCCGCGACACTGAGAAGACAACATTGCGTAGCGTTCTTAACTCTTGTTTACTTGTTTACCAATCGATGTTTATAAGCTTCCACTCACTCCCTCCAATCATCACTTTCTTTGTATTGTCATCCTGCGCCAGTTCATTTGCACATTTTCCATCGATACGTTGTTATAGAATCTTCAAAATTTTCATTTTTTGGAATTTGAATTATGGAATTTTGATATCTGTTACTTGCAGAGATTGTGAAAGCTCTTCTGGCTATCTCCCCAAATATTGGTAAAAAATTGAATGAAAGCAAAGATAACGTTAAAGATGGAAAATAAGGGACATGATTATATTCTTGGATTATCATTTAACCTCATCCTTAGATTGAGATCAAGATCGAGAATTATATGGCGGGATTGGATATTGTACATCAGCGACTGTTGGACGAATGGCGACAAGAATCGAGACGAGACCTTTCTCAACTGGAAATGGTGCTGAAGAGTGCTGAAGTATGATGTTTTGCACAGTGTGATAGTGAAAGAAAATGGTACTTTAAAGCGAGGGATATTCTCTCGAATATAGCAAATTAAAAAATTATCACAAGTGATAAATGATAATGTCTACATAGATGGAAGTTGAATGCAGGAAGCTGATGGCAGAGTGGAATAAGGAACCGAAAAATCTAGGAGCTATTGGAGTCAGACTAAAACGGATAAAGGTGTATTCGTATATTATATCTTCCACAAACACTTATTCAAAAGCTAACATGAGCGACTCGACCATAGGAAGTGTTGTAGTTTATCCTACAATCATCCTCGCATTATAATACTCGCTACCTGAAATAAGTCAATCTATTATACCTAGCTTAGTGATAGTTATTAAAACTTGTTCGTTAACAACTTCACACATCAGTAGCTACAGTTAGATCACACAGGTACTACTCAAAACTCGGTGAGCTTCGCAAGATGTCGTTAATTGTTTTTCAGGAATTAATGAACAACAGGAACGCTTTACGTGGTCTTACCCATAATGATTTACTTATGATTCATCGTAAGTCTTACTTTGGCACCACTAAAATTGGTGAAATGCAAATCCACCTCTCAGATTTAGGCCTAAAAACGTTTCATAACCTTTCAGTTTAATCTTTCATTTTTTTCTCAAATTGGATTGCAGGAGATGTTTTCGAGATAGATGCACTGTGTGCAGTACTCAGGTCTGATCTCGACTCATTCCGTGAAGCCATCACTGTTCTCATCAATTTTTACAATTCTTATGGGTAAATACAAAGATCTGTTAAAAACTAGCTGGGTTATTGCTTTATTATTTCAATATCGATTGGATATTTAAATTTTAGTTCAAACGAAGAGTGGCCAAATAAATGGTTGATGATCGGCTTAGATCTTATGTTCCTTTTGGCTACCAATCAACACATTGAATTCCACATGGTATTTTGATATTAGTGGCTGAAAGAAATAAGAAAAATTGTGATAATTTTTCAATAACATGTATCCTCTGAAAATTACAAAAACTTCATCACGAAAATTTTGTGGAAATTGAACTACATATTCAGCAGGTTGATCTGTTTCTATAATAGATTAACTTCAAATGAAATGTTGCAGTTATTGGAGCAGATTGATCAAGAGATCCAGCAAAAGAATCCGTATATTAAGATACCTATGAAATTGGAGCAATCGCTTACTGAAGGTGCTTATCATAAGGTATCCATTTTCTTTAATGATCTTTGTGAGTAAACCAGAATGAGGAAGATTAAAACAGTGACCATAGTTATGATGAGTTTGCTAAATGGAACTCCATTATCCTACTATGTTTGACCTTTCTTTCGACTATTCCAGTTAATTTTCGAAAACTTAGTCCTAAATCATTGCAGATAGTGCTAACGGAAAAGAATATTCCCAGCCCCTACTACGCATTATTTATACGTATATCAATGGACACAGTACGGTGAGTTTTCCTCTTACTCGAAAGAATTCAAAAACTTAACCAAATAGAAGCAATTATAGGGATGAAATAGCTGTATGTATGGAGCACTCATTTATAAAAATATCGCAACGAGATGCTGCACGATTACTTTTGTTTAATGATGTCAATGAAGTGATATCTTTTGCCGAAAAGGTTTTTTTTTTTTTTTTCCGACAACTGTGCTTGAAATTTCATTATTCGAGAAGCTTCAGCATTACAGAAAATATATAAATACTTTTATTAATTAACTCTATCTACGCTTACAAATATTGATTTGAAACAATTTTTCAAAATTGTGAAAAACTTCCCATCATATTCTGTGAAATAAGTAATGAAATACATAAGTCATATTCCGTATAACGAAATAGAGAGAACCTCATGACGGTCAAATGTGTCGGGAAATTCTACCCCTTTAAACCTGTGAACAAGTCTCCCTTAGACTTGAGTGAATGAGAAGTGAGTCACTTTATTACATATTTAATAAAATGTATTAATGAGAAAAATAGGAACACATCTTAATAGGTCTGCAAAGCGGGCAAAACAATTTCTGAAATACGTCAGTTGTAAATATAATGTAACATTGAATACGGAGATTCTCTTGTCACCAACAAGTACGATACATTTTCTTTATAATCACAAGTTTACTCTAAGATTGGATCTTTTTATAAATATCATTCAAATATAGAATTCTCCCGTCTTAAAAAAAAATGACCTTATCAGCCTCATTTGATGATCAGACAATAATAACTGGCCGTCAACCAATAACACAAATACCATTGTCTGTTGTGTTTTAGTATAAATCAAACACTTATTACATTGTAAACTTATTACAATCATTAAAATGTCTGTCCAATTTATAATCACTATATTCAATATCCAACCTAAATAAACATAACAGAAAACACTTTTATTTGAGGATATAGTAGAGGATATATTCTCGACATTGCTCATATTCTTTCTGATTATTATTCATTAAAGAAATTTCTTCGCTACTTCCTAGAATATTTAATCTCTAACAACTTCTGGAGATTTCATTATAGCGTGGCTGGAGAAGCAGTATATGTGGTAGCAGTATTACGTACGTATTTGATCACGCACAAGTCGTAAGTTGTATCTTATTTTTGTGTATTTTGCAAAGCTTGGACAACTCTACAATGCACGTGATTTTAGCATGTGGAGCCACGGTTAGATACTAAAAGGATCGCCGTGCAAACTATTTTTTATGCAAAGCAACTCGAAATGATCGTATAAGACATTAGTCGAGCAGATCCTTTATCTGATTACTTTCGCATCAAACGAATTCTCGGACTTTATCAGTTCTTATCGCTTATTTTGTGTGCATTTTAAACTAAATATTCCCTGGAAATTGCAGTCAGTTATATGAAATAATTCGAATTATATATGCCCATAAAACTGTTATAAATATTAATTATTGAAATACCGCAAATACTAGAACCAGATCTGAGTCTAACATTTCATTTTTAAGCCACCATACAGTGGAAATAGAAGCAATATTGTTTACAACTTGTGAAGTCTACAGATGGAAGTCACAACTTAATAAATTCGCAACATAAATGACGACAAACTAATAAATAATGGGGCACGGTCATAGATTTCGTATAAATTTACTCTGAAGGATTTTTATATCGATCTTTGTATTACAAATATAGTTAATAAATAGGGACATAACAGAAATGGCAAAATATTTTACCTAAATTCGACCAGCAAATTTCTAATTCAAAATCTCAATTTTGGCTTTTTTTGAGGTGATTCACGTATTGTTTGGATTTCCGTAAATTCGTCCTGATTTACATCACTCACTGCCTCATAAGCCGAAGTGGGAGGTGGTGTTGAAGGAAGGAAATAAACATTATTTTTGTCAATATCGCTACAGCCATCAATGCCAGTGTTTACACTTTTTTCACTTCTATCATTACTATAAATACTGCCAATGTTTTTCAACACCAGATCTTCCGCAGCAATCGTTTCATACAGTCTTTGCACAACAGGTTTCCCAAAGAGATCACCGAAGCTGCTGCCAGATACAGGAGCTAAATAAATCTCCCTTACTTTTATGAAACCTGCCTTTAAAAGTGAAGTTGGAAAAAAAAAGCAGTGAGAATAAATTAGAACCAACCCTCAACTGAACTCAAATCACATTCATCAACAATAATGGATAAAATATTTAGTAGCGGTCGAGTTATGTGTGAAAAAACCTGAAATTTGGAGTGTAAATGTAAATGTAAAGATAAGTTGAGATGTCAGAAAAGTCTTTTCTTTAATATTTAGATGATAAGATCTTCCGAATAAGCGGTTTTTTAAAGTCATTTGGCTACAAAAATATCTATTCAGTGTAATTGGAATCCCATAATCCAATCTTATGGTGAAAGAGGTTTGATTAATAAAGATTTTTCAAAATTTCTCATTTGCTATAGAGACCAAAAAATAGCACTGGGAGATCTAACATATATCTTACAAAAAAGCAAAAGTTACATAATTCATCGAACCCAAATGTTGTCCGAAAAAATGCCACTTCAGAGTTCGTTTCCCAGCAACAACTTCAAGATCAAATTCCAGTGTTTCATCATTCTTATTTTCATTTGACATCTTTGTTGTCAACGACACGAACATACTGCGAACTTTTTCGAACAAAGCCTGTTCTGAGCCACCTAATCTGGCATTCAGCGACGAAAATTTCTTCATGAAATCAGCAATTTCGTAGAATATGCACTCGTAATCAGTTAATATTGTGTGCAACCGTCCGGCCTTAAATGACAAATCAAGACAATTATTTCATCTTAAAAAACTAAGCAGTGAAAAAGAATAATTCATTTCAAACTAGTTTTTTGTTCCTAAAACTATAAAAACTTGTTTGTTGCACAGACTACACCTAGTTCGTTCAAACTGCATCAAACTTTTCCTGAATCTCACAAGCATAAGTCCCACTAAAATTCTTCTTTCACATTTATTACCTATTAATTTCATGGTATTGAACCATTAGAACCTAAGCAAATAATTAAATTAAATAAGTAAGTGGTTAAATAAGTTACGTATTCTTTTGTATTGGAAAATATAATAGATATCGAGGCATCTCTATCTCCCGAACTGCTGATGATAAAAGTAGGAATCAATACTCGCCATGAATGAGTAAAGAAGTATATCGTTAATAAAATTAAAATCAAAAACTACCTTGATAAGAAATTTAGCAGCACAATGCCTATTACCCAATCTGAAGCCTACAGGTGCCCAACAAGTTTTAAGAAACTCTGCATCCACATCTGCTTCTATCAGATTTCTGTTCACTTCTGAATGTAAAACACCCAGCTCCTCACAATTCGCCATTAGTCTCGAAGAAGTTGGATCGCGAAGCCGAAGCCATCCTGTATAGTTCCTGTATTTCACAATCAAAAAGCTAAAATCATTCAACATTATCTATTCCTTGAATACAAAAGAGCACACAAACCCCAAATGATAACACCACAAATTAATCTGTTTATAACAATTTTTTTGCCACACTGAGTTTCCCATTATTAAAATTGTATAAAATCTGTTTTTAATTTTTAATTGTAAAAAATCTCAGAAAAACAGCAACAGAAGCTGTATAGCAAACAAAAAAGAAAGTAAATGTTTCCCACTGTCATTCCATTCATTTTATTTGAAAGCAACAATTTAATAGAAAGAATTATTCAGTTTAACACAGCAAAGATAAATGAGAACATCGCAAATGTTCATTTTGCTGTATCGCATTCTCCTTTGTTTAAATGCGGTAAGCACAGACAGTTTTGGTAGTGATTAGCATTAATGTGACAATTGATTTGTTATTGTCATGAAAAGGGACAACATTTGAATTATTCTTTGTGAGCCAGATATAACATTAGTCATTTAAATAACGAGACTTATCACTGCATGAAATGTAAGATGTTACATGTTGATTTATAATAGTTCCTTTAGCTTTTCTTTCTTTTCAAATTTTGTCACGGAAAGAAATTTAAATTAGATGTAACAATTAAGATTAAGAGAATGTTATGCATTCTATCATAAACAGAAAATCTTCTATTAATAATGACCAGTGACAAAAATTATACTGCAACATAAAATATGAAATGTAAGAAACCGGTATAACCGTAAGTTATACAGCAATAACCTACTACGAAAAAATCTTGATAGAAAAGAACACCTTAAAAACAAGAATATAAACCATTTTAGAAATAAAAAAGAGCAAAGAAGCTGAACTGCTTAAAAACTTTGATAATGATATCCAGTACAGGAAATGATTCAGTGATTTAATCAAAATTAACTGGTCACTCACCTTAATAAATATGATCTCAGTAAATATGCATTTCCACAGAGATGCTGAAACATTTCTTCAGCTCACAATGATGAGAAGATATTCTGTCATTAGATCCCGTTAAAATAATGAGACTTTAAAATATCAAAAATATCTTCCACGCGTTTTCTACACTTTCCATTATAGTAAGATGAAAAATCTCAAAATTTGCTGATTCCTGATTAAAATTTCTAAATCTATAATAAATAAACAACCACAGAACAAATCACCAACAAAATTAGAAATGACAAAGCATAAATGTGAAAAGCGTTTAATTCACACCTTTACATAATAATACAGTTCTGATAAGATTAAACTGAGATTGTTTTTAGGCTCACTGCTATTTGTAATAACTTCTTTTTTGAAATTACAATGTCCGAAACTCTCAAACATTTCTGATAAATTCGAAATTTTATCCAGAGGAACAGAAATATAATATCCAGAGAATACAGGTCAAAAACATTATATCTAATGTAAATCTGACAGTTTCTAAAGAAGAAATTATCAGGTACCCGTTAATCGCATTTTTGTTCCTTCCAAATAAGCAGTCAAATACTGCTAAAATTGATAACACGGCGTATGAGATCACAGATACCATTTAAGAAATCAGTTCAACGTATAAAACAAATTTCTCCTTGTGATAACATACTGTGTCTTCTACAAAACTCCATTTAAATTTTAAAACGAATAAAACAATACAGTGATGTTGAAGCACGGAAATTAAAATATGAGACGCATAAAGTGATGTTAAGAGACATAAATCTATGGCAAAGAAAACCTCTTTAAACCCAAATTCAACAACATAACTCTTTATGTTTAAATTATAAGTTGATTTATGAAAATTCTCCTATATCATGTTGGCATCAGCAGAAGTGGTTTACTGCTCACAAAACTCCTTTTGTACATTTCTAAAATTAAGGACTAAAATACTAACGACTTCAAAGCGAATAAATAATGCAAGTAAAAGTTATTTCTTTGAGAAAATATGGGTTTGATGACATCATCTTGAATTTCTACGGCATCATGCCGCGTACAGGTCCGTTTATTCTGGCCTAAAAATAATGAAGTCATCAGAATAAACTTAAAAATTCAGAATCAGGCTATATGAGCCATTCGTTTCTCAATCTCAACAGCTCCTTAATTGACTATTTCTATACCATATCAAACCATTCCGTACATGTAGTAAAACGCTATTTGTAGATGTTTATGTTCCTACTAGCGATGAAAGAAGATAGTTAGAAGTTGTAAACAAAACAAAAAGCTTGATTTTTCTACGACTAATATGAATATAAAAATTGAATTCTAAATATATCAAACGGTTGTTCTCATTAATCAGAAAGCAACAAAAAAGATAATTTAGCAAATGTGATTTCAAAAATGCGTTTTTCAACTTACCTCTTCTAATTCTTTTTGGGCTTTATCCTCGATTTCACGAATATCAGCCATGGTTAAACCGTACCAGTTATCCATCCAGCAAAATACTTCACGGTGGAATTTCGTAAATAGACGTGGGTACTGCTTAAAACATTTATGAAATGTTCAACCAAAAATTGAGCACTGACAAGAAAAGACACTTCCATCACACCTATTAGAATGCCAAGAATCCCGCTTGCAACTGAGTATCAAAACTTAAAGATATTTCAAAACGATCTACAAATGAACACAAAACTTACACGATGTGCGTAATTTTCTACTATTTTCGTTAAACCGAACCATTTAAAGTGCACTTTTACCAATTTATAAGCGCACATCACCGGTTCCATTGTTTCTTTCCAATTTCCTACTAGAGGACCACGCCCGGTTTTCAGGCTTTTGAATCTTGATGGTGTTGTTTCCGGTTTGATATCCTGTAAGTCACTGAACTCAAGCTTATTATGTATTTCAATACAAAAATTTTACGATACAAAAACCAAGGAGCACAAAA